TGTAGCTACATCCAGTGCTGGGCATCACTGCATTACCAAAATCTCCAGCCTGTTAAACAACCATGTAAAAATGCTTTCACTGATTTGTGCACGTCAAAGGATACTCAGAACAGAACTCTCTCTGCTTCATAGAATCATAGAATCATTAAGGTTGGAAAAGACCTCTAAGATCACTATGAGCAACCCCAATGCACCCACCACATCTATCACCACATCCCTCGGTGCCACATCTCCATGGCTCTGAACACCTCCATGGACGGTGACCCCATCAGCTGTGCCTCTGAGCACGACGCTGATGCTCTTAGATGTTGCAGAAATGGACAACAGCTCTGGCTCAGTTGCTCAAGCTCTGGTCCCAGTTCTTACGCCCGCATGAGCCAAACCCCACACCTGTATGTGTGGAAGCACAGGGGTTTGGGTGCCTCACAGCTGGCAAGGAGCAGAAGGATGGGGAAAAAAAGCAGCCTGGAGAGTGGGCTCCCATGGCTGGAGACAGGGCAGAGGCCTGAGCTTTGCCTCAAGACTGGTCTTCCCATGGTCATTGGAGCTGTTCTGACTTACCCTGAACTGAACTGCATTTCTGACTAGGTTTGAGCTGCTAGATGGGATAGCTTCATTTATACATCATAGGGATCGCTAAGGGGCAGAAGTATTGGAGAAGCCATGAAAGTATCAAAATAAGCTGGCTTCTGCTACTCTTTCTCACCATAACATCTTCCATAGAAACACAGAGACTTCTCTGTCAGAAATAAAAGCTGCAGAATCGCATTTAAGCAGTCATAAAGTTTTTTTTATACAGTTTTGCAGGAACAGAAAATTGACATTTTCTGACACCTTGGGTTACAGTGAGGTGCAACACAAGGCAACTAATGGGAGCACTTGGCAGCAGCTTAGAACAGGTAACACAGTTCTGTGGCAATTTATCCGATTAATCACCTCCTGTATCACACTGAGGGAAGTTAGCGGTGAGTTACAAACCCTCCAGGGTCTTTTCATGCCATGAGAGTGATGGGAAAAGGCTTCTGTGTTCCTGAGAGCCAGGCTATAAGCGAGCACCACTGAAAAGATCTCCATCAAACCAAAATGGGTTTTAGCTCATTCAGTCCAAAGGGAGAGCGTAAACTTTAATTAACTCAATAGCTGTCAAGAGCTTAGAGAGCTGTAGATTAATAGTGCTGGCACAAAGCTGCTGAGCATCAGCACTGCTGGCAGCCCAGCAGGCTTGCAGGGAGCAGCAGCTCCTGCTGACATTCTGGTGCCAGGGAGCTGCTTGGAAAAAGCCCAAGCCCAGAAAAGGTGGCAGCCCAGCCTGCTCAGTGCCACCTCCAGCAGGCTCCTCACGAGGGGCTGCACTGCAGCTTGGGAGTAGGAAGGACTTGGAAGCCTTCAGAGGACCAATTCTGTGTGAGCGCGGAACACGTAACGATCGGCTGTCTTAATTCCTGTCCCACCTCTGCACTCTGCCTGCCAGAAGTGAGCCTTTGTCCTAAATGCAGAGCGAGGGACAAGAAGTGACACCCCAGAGGACAGTTTGAGTTCTGTCTTCTTGGAAGGTGCTTCAGCTCAGCACGCAAATGGACTTCCACCGAAGAATGGAATTTGACTGCTAAGGAACTTGGAAATTACTGGGGGGAAAGATTTTGAAGAAAAAAAAAAAAAAAGCAACCACAAAAAAAAACCAAACCAAAACAAAACCAAACATTGTTCAGTTTGAGTGAAAAAATAAAATATGGAAGAAAAGAACGTTGGCAAACTGCACTCACAGCTCAGCTTCAGGGCCACGAAGAGGTGAAAGAGGGTCATTCTGCAGAGTGCAGCAAAAATAGGGGAGAGCCATCAGTATGGTTTCATATGAGAACAAATTGCAATTTCAAGGCTGTTGGGAATATGTGAAGGCTCTCTGCATATCGTCCAGAATACACAACACAGGGAAATGGCATGGGTTCATTTGGGTTAAGTAAGTGGGGGACTGGCACTGCAAGGGTCAGCAGAAAATACTGTTTTATGGTGATGGTAACCAGGAAGGCTCTTTGCAGTGCAGCAAGGTCACTCCTGCAGCTGGAAGGGTGCAAAAATCCATTTCATCATTGACTGACACAAGCTGGTGGCTTCTTGATGTCTGTGAGTCAGCATGGCACTGCCCTGCAGCATGCTGGGTTTTCTCATTTGTATGAAAGCACACGTTGCAGAGGACGGTGCTGTTTCCTCAGCACAAAGGTGCTCAGCTCCAGCAGCAGGTGCTCTGGAAGTCTGGAAGTCTGCAGTGGGGATATTTCAGGCTGGGCCGAAGAGAAGACTACAGAGGGAAGTATCTGAATGCTTGCAGGAGACGCATTTACGGATCCACAGGCGGGAAACCCAGCGCCCACTGGAGGCGAAGCCACTGCAGAGCGACTGCAGGAGTAGGTGCGGCAGAAGCAGCCACGTAGTGACAGCTACAGCAGTAAGAAGCAAAGCAGCCAGCAGCAGGGTGGTAGCCACGACACGGCTCTCTTGCTGTGCTCAGCAGGAGATGCAGCCACAGGAACTGCACAGATACTCAGAAAGATGGTGTTGAATTATTCTGAATGAATTATACAAGGGAGCCACTTGCTCTTCAACAGCATAATCTCTGCATTTAAACATGAATAGATAAGGGTCACTGAGGGAGGGATATTGATATCGTCTGACCATACCCAAATGCCGCAACATTCGGCAAACTTCCAGCTCTACTGCCTTGTTGCTCTGACCCACTCTTTGCAGCCCTGTCATCAGAATGGGGCTGCAGAGATAAGAGCTGCCGTGCCACACACACTGCCTTCTGCAAATACCGTATCCAACACAACTCAGCTCACATCACAGAATGCCCATTAGTCATGTTGTGATCCACAAAGGCACCCAGGCTCTTCTGTTATTTCCAGCCAAGTGAAAATACTTGGAAATACACTGGAAAAACTATTTAAAAGTTTCTTCATTTCAGGAGTTTGTACTCTGTGCTGCTTTGATTGCTCTGAATCAAACCCATCCTGACCATCCTGTCTGACTCTGCACTCACACACTCCCATCCTTGTACATCATGTGATGCCTTAATAGAAGTTTGTTCCCTAGAACCAATTCCATTCCTCAGGAACCTTTCTCCCCCTCCAATAAATCGTAACCTTCTATTTAGCTAGTTACACAGTTCTTGCATATCAATCTAAAATATTACTTTTGAAAACAATCACATTAACTTTTAAGGAAGCGGCATCACAATTTACATTTTTTTCATGTATTTTTCCTGTCCTTTCACAGAGGCTTGGCTGGAGCCAGATGGCCAAAAACCAAACCAGTAAGAATGAGAATTGTTTGATCTGTGGACGCAGAGAGGCCTCCACCTTTAGGGCCCCAGATTAGAGCCCCAGATGCTGGCATACAGGGAACACTTTACCTCTGAGTGCTTTGGCTGAAGGCTTGCAAGTTGAAGATGAGGGAACCCTTGCTGTTAGTTGCTGTTCTCTCAGTGCTGGAGGAAACCATTACAACAAAGCACTAACTCCCATGTTTCATGCAGTGCTTTTTCAGAGGAGATGCACAATGGAATGATGTCATCACTGGCTGAGGAGATGAGGGGAGGTGGTGCATGCCATGTACCTCAACTGCAGCAAGGCTTTTTACACTGTCTCCCACAAATATCCTTGTAATGAAGCTCAGGAACTGTGGGATAGACAGGCAGACAGTGAGATGGATGCAGAACTGCTGAGTGGCAGAGCTCAGAGAGCTGCGATTGGTGACACAGAGTGCAGTCAGAGGCTGTAACCAGCAGTGTTCTCCAGGGGTTGGTGCTGGGCCCAGTCTTGTTCAATACCCTCATCAGTGACCTGGATGAAGGGACAGAGTGCGTCCTCAGCAAATTTGCTGATGATGCAACACTGGGATGAACAGCTGACACATCAGAAGGCCGTGCTGCCATTCAGCGAGACCTGGGTAGGCTGAGAGTTGGGTGGAGAGGAACCTGATGAGGTTCAACAAGGGCAGGTGTAGGTGCTACACGTGGGAGGAATAACCCCACACATCAGTATAGGGCAAGGGCTGAGCTGCTGGAGAGGAGCTCTGCAGAGGACTTAGGGGTCCTCATGGCCACCAGGCTGACATGAGCCAGCGGTGCATCCTGGTGGCAAGACGGCCAATGGTGTCCTGGGGTGCACCACATGCAGCACGGCCAACAAGGCAGAGAGGTCATCCTCCCCTCTGCTCTGCCCTGTGCAGGGAACATCCATAGCACTGTGTCCAGTTCTGCTCCTCAGCTCAGACTGGGAACTGCTGCAGAGAGCCCAGAGGAGGGCTGGTCAGGGCCTGGAGCATCTCCCTTATGAGGAAAGGCTGAGAGCCCTGGGCTGTTCACGCGGAGAAAGGCTGAGGGGCGATCAGTGCCTGTAATGGGCAGGAGTCAAACGGACGGGGCCAGGCAGGGACAGGACGAGGGTCAACGGGCGCAAAGCCACACAGCTCCACACCGACACGAGCACCAACCTCGCTGTGAGGCCGTCACCTTCCCACAATGCCCCACGCGCCGCGGCCCCTTCAAGCGCCGCGAGGCAAGGGGGGAGGGCGGGGGAGGGTAGGAGCCGAACGCGGAGGACAAAGCCCGGCGCCCGGCCGCGCCGCGGTACCCGGATAGGCGGGGGGGCGGCGACGCGCCGCGATTGGCCGCCGCGGGGAGTGGGCGGGCGGATAACGGAGCCACAAAATGGCGCCGCGCTCCCCGCCACTTACATAACGCGACCTCTCACCTTTCGCGCGGCGCAAGGCAGCTTGCTGCACTGGCGGGCGGGGCGAGGAGGCGCGATTGGCGGATCCGTCGACTAATCGAAAGGCGGCGGCCCCGGCCATCCTCCAATAGGCTACCGGGGCGGCGAGAGGGCGGGTGGCGCGGGGCGGCGGGAGGGTTGGGGTGCGCGCGGGCAGGCCGGGCCCGCCGCCCGCCCGGCAGGGGGAGGGGAATCTCCCGCCATTTTTCAATCCTCCCGCCCGGGCCCGGCGTCACCGCGCGGATCCGGCGGCTGCCGCCGCCATGGCGCCGTTGCTGGGCCGCAAGCCCTTCCCGCTGGCCAAGCCGCTGCCGCCTGGGGAACCGGGGGAGCGCTTCATCGTCCCGCACACGCAGGAGGCTTTCCGCACCCGCGAGTATCCTCACGGCCGGGGCGGGCGGAGGGGGGAGGAGCGGGGCGGGCGGCTGAACGGCAGTGGGTGCGGGGGGAGCACCGGGAGGTCGGGCCGGGCGGAACAAAGGGGCTGGCGGTCCTCGTGGGGCGGCGTGGGGCACAGCTGCGCTCCTGCGGGGTTTGGGGTCCCGGCTGCCCCCGCCGGGGATGGAGGTCCCGCAGCTCTTGGCGGTTCAGACATTCCGTTTACGACTGAAAAAGCTGCCAAAAAAAAACCAAAAAAAATTTGGGGGGGGGGGGAAAAAAAACAAAAAAACCACCCGCACTCATTCTCCGCGAGGAAGCGGGCGAGAAGGATCTGGAGGAGTTCAATTCCTGTCGCTGTCGGACAGCCCCGGCCCCCGGGCGCAGCTCTGAGCGGGGCCGCAGCTCCGGCTCGTGGGGAGCAGCGGGGCTGCCGGCTCTGCGCCTTCTGGAAAGTTCACGTCGCCAGAGAGACGTCACGGGGCTAAAAAGAGAAACTAACGCCGGGTTTGTGCCGTACTCTGCTGGCGATGTGTGCGATGGAAGCTAGGCCAGAGGTGGAAGAGAGAAGAGGAGGAAGAATGCAAAGGAGTGTCGGCTGCATGGAGGTGTTGCCTAGTGAGGGCAGGTTGCTTCTGTTGGCCCCGGCTTTCCCCAGCTGGAGGAGCAGTGAATCAGCACTTGCTCTGTGCGGGCTCCTGTGGTGCAGGTCCATGAGTGAGGTGTGTGCATGGCAGTGGGTTCACACAATCGGAGAACGGGTTGGAAGGGACCTCAGGGACCATGGATCTCCATCTCCCCTGCCACAGACAGGGCCACCAACCTCCACGTTTAATAGTAGACCAGGCTGCCCAGAGCCCCATCCAGCCTTGAGCACCTCCAGGGAAGGGCACAGCGCTCTTTAGTAAGGCTCTTCAGAACTTGCAGCTGTAGAATAGGGTGAAGAAAAATAGGGGTGTTGTGGCATTGTCTGGTAAATGTGAGTAGACGCACCTGTCTTGTGACTGAGCGTTCAGGTGTCTGAGGGCACTGGGCAAGTGGGTAGAGTGGATTGGGGATTTATTTGGCTGTAGTGTTTCCTTGTGGCTTCCTTCTGCAGCCATACCCCTGCAAACTCATTAAGAGGAGCCGTGCTGCCCATGGTCCCTGGTGTCAGGTGAAGCCCACGGTGCCCAGAGTGAGCGAGCGTAGTGTGGACGAAGTGCCGGCATCTGGAGATGGGCTCCTTGCTGCTGGAGCTCTGAAGGGACTGCTGGGATCACGTGGGCTGCAGAGCAGATAAATGCTCCCCGTGTTGTGCGTGGGATGGGCTTGTCCTGTTACTTCGTCATGCACCTGGAAAAGCCAAGTGTGTGTGTGTGTGTGTGTGTGTGTGTGTGTGTGTGTGTGTGTGTGTACGTGTGCTGAGGGCTTCGTGTCAAAATACAGAGTTCCGTTGACCAGCTTATCTCCCTGAGCGTGTTGGCTGCTGTGTGTGACACCAGTCAGGCAGTGTGAGAGCATGTGGTCGCCAGGGCTGACCCTGTGACCCTGAGCTGGCATGGCTGTGCTGAGCAAAGCACCCACAGGGTCTGTTCTGGGAGCACTGCTGCTTTTCTTCCCAGGCAAAACCTGCTGCTGTTGCACCCATCTTCAGTTTGTGCTGTGAGCAGCAGAGAAAAATACCGATCAGGCTGCGTTTTGTGCGCATGTTGAAGACTATAGTTTACATCTTCAGTGCAGTATCATCCAGTTTAGATCTGCCTGAAGGATGGCAGTGCTAAAAGATTACGGTGCCATGCTCAGTAATTGTAGCAAGCTTTGCCTGCCACCTTGGGAACTGTGCTTCCTAAATACACTCCTGGGAGTTTGCCCCTTTAGCTGGTACATGTGGGGCCAATTATGACACAATTAAGCTATTTTGGAGCTGGCACTCATTTCTGGGAGAGTTTCACTAACCCACGAAGGAGTGAACTGTCTGCTTAGTGCTCCTCCTGTACAGTGGCCAGCTTGTTTGCTTTAAAACATTTTTCTTTGACACAGTCTCTTGTTTTTAATTTGGTTTTGTTCTCTGGCTTTCGACAAACATGTAAGCGATCATTGCTGTGATACAATCTGTAGATAGCTAGTTTCATGCAGCGTGTGCGTTACGGCTTTCTGGGGATTGACTGCACGGAGCTGTGTCCACGGTTGGTTATTTATGAGGTTTGTGGCAGCTCTGGCTCTGTGCTGCTGGCACATCCCACGTGTAGCCCCACGCCAGACCTGCTGCATGGTCTGAAGTGCACCGCGCTTCTTTCCAGTCCGAGTGGAAAGGGCGGGCAGTGTGCATGTAGTGGAAAGTTTGAGCTATAGCGAATTTACAAAAACATTCTGCTGCTGTTTGCCTTTGTGCTCGTCCTGTGGCAGCAGGGTGGGTGGTCATGTGCCTGCAGCGTGCAGGAGGAGCAGAGGGATGCGCAGTGCAGGAGGGAGCTGGGAGCTGCTCTGCCTCTGTTTGCATCTGATGGTTGTTTCCGTGCAGTCTGTAGAAAGCTTCATGTATGTGTGTGACCCCATAAGGCACGGAGCTGCAGTTGCCAGTGGGTGGGCAGGTGGTGAGGGTCCTTCTGTGCCTCTTCCATGTGCCTGTGGTGCCGGGGCTGCTTCCCCACAAGTCTGCCTGGGAAAGCTGGAGTCTCATCAGACCCAAGAAGTGCTCAGCCACACGTATTTCCTGGTGCATTCTTCAGCTTGGTTGGTGGCGTGCAGTTTCCGTAGGGCAGCGCAGAAGAGGACAGGCTGTGGAGAGCTCTGGTAGTTCCTGGTCTGAAAGCATTCAGATTTAGTGCAGCAGAGATGCAGGGCCAAACCTTGCTGTAATGCGGCCTTTATGCACTCAGACAGAAAGAGTCTAATTGAATAAGACTGTTTCGTGCTATTGTGGTGGTGCCTACTGCATAACTCCTGTTTTCCTGAGCTGCTGCTGCTACAGGGAGTATGAAGCGCGGTTGGAGCGATACAGCGAGCGAATATGGACGTGCAAGAGCACAGGAAGCAGCCAGCTGACACACAAAGAGGCCTGGGAGGAGGAGCAGGAAGTTGCTGAGCTGTGAGTACCCTGCAGAGCTGGTATGTGCCTGTGTGTGGGCACTGGGGCAGAGCAGGGGGTGTGCAGGGAGGTGTGGGTGCTGGACGGGGAGGTAGCTGCCTTCCTGCTGCCTGGCTTGAGGTCTGGGGCTTCTGGAGTCAAAAGCAAAATATCTGAACTTGATGCTGTTGCTAAAACAGGACAGTAAGGTACTTTGCTGTAGCTTGGTGTTACTGAACTCAAATAGCTCAGTGTATGTATTTGTTGTGTTTTAAAGCTCCCTGAGTAATGGGAGTCCTTTGTAGTGAGGGGAAAAAAATCCTGATGTAAAAATAGAGCAAGATGCTCTATTTTTTTAAAATGTTTTTTAAATGTTGGAGCATTTTGTATCAGTGAGATCTGCAGCTGTAATTATTTTTAACAGATCTGTGGTGGAATTGGTCATTCAGCTGTTCTGGAGTAAGTGTTTGGGCATTCATTCTACTTGAAATGATAGAGAACAAAGGGAGAACAGCAAGAACAATTACTTTGTTCAGACCAACAGTGTTCCTCCTTGCTCATGTGTCCCCAGCTTGCCCCTGCAGTGCTCAGCATCGCCCTGAGTCTTTGGTCGAGATCCAGCATGGCCCTAGAGCCACAGGGGAATTGTCTGTGAAGGTACTTGCCCGTGGCTGAAGTCACATCTGTAGTTTGGTACTCATGAAATAAACTGTATGAATGATGCCAGACGAAGGGCTTGTTTCTCTGTTCTGCAAACTGATTACTTAAATTTGTGACTTTTTTTTTACCTGGATTCAAACAGGGCAGATAGTGGTACCACCAAGGCAGGAGAACTTCTGTGTCTCTTGGCGAAGAGTGCAAATTCCTGATTGGTTGGTGGAGGAGTTGATAGCTTCACCTTGAGGAGAAATGCCCCATAATTTAAGGTTTAAACACGTTCTTAAAGGCAATGAATAGGAGACCTATTTCCTGCTGGTCCTTATTTCAGTGGAGCTTGAAGTGCTGCTGTCACCTTCCTCACCTGTGTTTGTGCTCAAGAGGAGGGCGTGCAGCTGGCAAAGGTTGTGGTCTGTTGGGTGGTGAGGTTGGATTGGCTAGGCACTTTGGAGGGGGAAAAAAAAAAAAAAAACCAAAAAGGACCAAAGTGTGACTGAAAGGTTTGTCGATAACTCTAGCTGCAGCATCTCTGAATGTCGGCGGAAAAAAGGATTTGATGAAATTTTGTGTGTCTCTAAATGGGTCTAAAAGCTGTTTAGTGGCTGCTGACAGGAAAAAGAACGAGATTGTTTAGTTTGCTGAGGGGATCAATCTGTTGGTGGCAGTTGCAGAACAGCAAACAGCAGAGGAAGCTGAAAGGGTTTTGGAAAAAGCAGAGCATTTTGTGCCTTCTTGCAGTAACGTGACACAGATCTGACTTTCTGCAGCTCGGAGAGCTTTCCACAGTGCACTTCTCAGTACCCTGTCAGTTCCTGGACTTGACTGGTTCAAGAATAAGTGAACTTGTAACAGTTTTTTGTCTCTTCTGAAAAAGTTGTAGAATCTTGACATGATGAAACACAGAATGTTTTCCTGTGGAAAGATGAGATTGTGTAAGCCTGCCTTTGCTTTCTTTGTTGTGTTTGGAGTGCGTAGGGCCAGGGTTTAGGAAGCAGGAAGCTCTCAGTGTTTACCAGCATCATCTTATGGTTTGTAGGAAGCAACAGTTTTGAACAGGTCCCAGAATAATGACAAGATCTTGGTGTATATTTAACATCAGTTCAGGAGGCAATAATTACCAGCAGGAAAGGGTTTACCAGCAGTGCTGCTCTTCCCAGAACCCCCTTCAGCGTTCCTTCTGGGAAGGACAAGTACAATTAGTGTTGTTGTGCCAATTAACACTTCGTGGGCTGGTCACACAGGGCAGCGCATGAAAAAACTGTCTCTGCATTCCAGTGTGGCTTCTGCTTGGAACATTGTGCTGGCTGTGGCTGCTGCTGGAATTGTGAAATGGGAGACTGCTTTGCATTTTGGCTTTTATTCCCTGAATAACGAAAGCTTCTTATGCCCTCGCTCAGCTTGAAGGAGGAGTTCCCCATCTGGTATGAGAAACCGGTGCTGGAAATAGTTCACCACAACACCGTATCTTTGGAGAAGCTGGTGGATGCAGCTTGGGTGGAGATCATGACCAAATTTGCAGTGGGAGAGGAGTGTGATCTTGAGGTACGGATGTGTTTTCTATTTGATCCCCTGCTTTTGCACAGAGCCGATCTGGGATATCTAAAGGCAGGAGTGGGAAAGGATAGATCAGTCACTTGTGTTATCAGAAAGGTGGTGAGAATTTCTGTTCTATGGAAGCCCGGGGGCAGCACTGCTCTCAAATGCAGAGCAGTTCCATAAACAGAAGTGTATGGATGCACCACACTGATGTCCTGAGAAGGACTGACTTGCGTGTGTGTGGGGAAAGTGAGGATACCTTTGTTATCGGCTGAAGTGTGTGATGCTCTGTGTGTATATATTTAAATATATACAATAATTCGTATTTGTTTTAATTGGAAGAGGTTACAGTTCATAATCTGCTGTGGCCTTTTCACGTAACGTGTTCCCAGAAGTGGGAGTCTTAAACTGGTATGGATTGAAGTCAACAGCTTGGATGTATTTAGTGATGTTCTGATAATTAGAAAAACCCCTCTGAAACAAGGATTAATGGGAAGAACTCAGGCTCATTTAAACTAGGGAAAGTGACGAAAAACAGCTTTCTGCTAACAATCTGTTTAGGACCTCTTTTGGAGCTACCAAAGTAACTCCTTCCTTAGACTGAGAAAGCAGCATTGTGAAATGCTGGAGAAACTTGTGGGTTGGCAGTTCTTGTTCTTAAGAATTTGTACAAAGTGTCCTGATAGGAGTAGGAGGGGAAAGCTTGCAGTTGTTTCATGACAGAGATGATGAGCTTCTCTCAGTCAGGCGTCCATTAAGTGTTTTGCCAAACCACAGTTTAGAAGCCCATTTATTTATTGTGAGTTGTTTGTCTATTCGGTGGGGTGACTTCTTTCTGCCTTTTCATAGCATTAGAACTCATTCACAGGTCTTGCTCAAGCTTACTTTTGTTGATAATCTGATGCAGGTCGGTAAGGAGAAAATGCTGCCTGTGAAAGTTGTGAAAATACATCCCCTGGAGAAAGTTGATGAAGAGGCCTCTGAAAAGAAATCTGAAGGAGCCTGCGATTCCCCATCCAGTGATAAAGAGAATTCCAGCCAGGCAGCCCAGGACAATCAGAAGGAGTCTATCCTGAAGGAGGAAGACAACAGGAAGGAAAGTATGAGTAAGTAGTAAAACAGCATGCCACCAGGGAACAGCTTGTGTAATCAGGGTCCTGAAATTGTCTTTGTTAGTGGTGGCATCAGTGCTGTTGCCTCGCTTATTTGAAAATGGAAGCCATTCTGTATTCCAAAGGTGCAGTGCAGAATGCTACATGTGGAACATGTAAGGTTTGAAAGTATAACAAGTGCACTGAAAAGGGTGAGGGGAACTCAGAAGTTGATGCAGAATCATAAAATTCTGCTGCCATATCCCTGTTCCATCCTTTGAAAAACCACCTCTGTCATTCTGTGATCAGATGCGAGTTCTCGTTTTCTTTCTGCTATCAGACAAGCTCTTTTTTTCATGTTCCCCATTTGACATAAAAAGCAAACATTGGGTTTTCCCCACTCCAGTTTTCAAATGATGAGCCAAAGTTCCTGCAGAAACGTACATACCAAACTCTTTCCTAAGGGTTCAAGGTAAGGTGTGCTTTCAAGTATTGTTCCCTGATCTTGTATCTGTTTCTCCTTGCTGTGGATAAAGCAGAGGATGTCCAAATCTTGAATCTGAAAAGTTTTGACTGAAAGAAAAGAAGCAAACAAAACCAACAAAATAGTTTAATCTCCTGTATAACTTCTTGAAAGTGGAATTCTAATACTGTTTAACAGATACGGAAGTGTTTGTTAACCCAAGCCAAGAAAATCCGTAGCATATTAATAATCTGGATAGGCTGAATTTTGAAGACAAAGAGATGCAATAAGCTGCTTCCTTGTTGTAAGTAGTCAGTCCAGCATCTAAGAAAGGTGTACAGCCTCCTCTGGTACAGAGTAGGGGGAGCTCGAAGGCAGCGCAGCAAGCTAGCTGTGGAATCAGGAGCAGAATACAAGTTGTTCCAAGCTCTCTTCTGGGCTTAGTAATTGTCAACTGTTTCTGATTTGTACTGGAAAAAGTTACAAACTGTTTTGATTTACAGCAGCTTTTTTGGGCTGAGGTCTTTCATAAGGACCGCTGTGATAATTTGCTCAGTGGTGTGTGGTGCTCCAACCAGCTGCGTTCAGCTGCAGTCCTGTGCAGGCTGGCAGTGTTGCTGTGCAGCGTGGCACATCTCTATGGTGGAGCAGGGATCCCTGCACCTTTCTCAGGCCATGGCTCACGTTTGACCTGCCTTAAGTTGCCCCCTGGTAAAGTGGGGTTGTCCTTCCCTTTCTGTAGAAGATAAACCCTGCCGGCTGTCTCATACCATAATCACTAGAAGCAGTGAGCGCTCCAGCTCTTCTTGTATGTAGGCCTTTATTAAAAGGTATGTAATGCTATGCTTTTACGTCCCAGGTTGTAACAGAACATTGTCCATAGGCGTCAACTCATTCCGAAAGATGTATCCCACAGTCTGTTACAATAATGTTGTATTTTTACAGCATACTTTTGCAGAAGTAATGAAGACCCCAATCCTGCAGTGCTCCCTTGACTGCAGCTGCAGGAGACAGCATATAACCTCTGTGGGTCACCTCGCCATGCTTACTTGCACTTTTTCTTTCCCGTGTTACATATTTGAACCACTGTTGATGTGTGTTGAGGTCACTGAACAAGAGTGAATGCTGAGGCTTTGCGTCACTGCCTGTTGTGGGACTGTGTTGTTCTCTGAGCTCAGCAGGGGGCACAGTTAACCCAAGTGTTTCACTGATGTCAAACTTGCAGATTCTGTTGAAAGACAGCTTCGGTTTCCTTGATTGGGAGATTATGGTGCTTATGTTGGGGAAAAAAAATGCAGCTGCATACAGGAATTATTGTCAGATGTGCAGTCTAAAGTAGCTTTGTGTCTTTAGTTGCTTAGGGAGTGAAATCTGGGAAGTCTGCAGAACCGAAAGGCTAGCTTTTCCTGAACGTGGATGATGAGCTCCTGAAGGCAAGTTCTGCAGCTTGAGCTGTACATAGAGCTAACACTGCTTTGGAAAATCTAAAATAACTGATGAATAGGAGACAACAACACGTGGGTGTTTTGTAAGGTTCTAGGAGTGTGGCTGATGTAAGCTTTGTTCCAGTACAATGCATCAAAAAATGTACTTAAGGTATGCATTTTATAAAAATAACTTCAGGAAGGAGTGTGTAGTGATTTATTGCCATCTTCTCTTGGATTTCCAGCTGCTGTTTGGTGAGCTGCAATTCAGTTATGCCTATTTCTAGAATTTAGGTATTAAATCATAGAGAGGTCACTTGCAGGCCTATTGCAGAGTGGTGTGTGGCCAAGTCCTTCGTAGTCAGAGCCAGGACCGAGCAGTGCCATGTTAACTGTAGGCACAAGTCTGTCATGTGTGGTACACATCTGCAGCAGAGAGAGCACTGCCAGTTAGGACACTGAACCAGATTTCTAAAAGCAGATCCTTTACACAACTTGAAGTGTCTTGTGTGCAGCTTCCAGTGTGCTGTTGAGTGAAAAAACATGATTTGGTGTTTGTTAACTTACCGAGACTTCTAATACAAATGCGGAACAACAGCAGGTCGAAGTCAAGGCTTGTGGGGAGCTGATGAGTCGCTTTTCATGCGTACTATTACAAAACTCAGGGTGCTTTTTTTGTTTACTCAGAACCTCTGTAATGAGTAGCACTTGGAACAGAATTGAACCTTCATTGTGTGGAGTACATGGCGAAGGCAGGAAGTAACTACGTGTTTATGTGGATGGTGCAGGCAGCCCCTGGCATCTGTGGTCTGTTACCTTACCGAGCCTCCTGATTTTTGGAGGAGATGGGTGGCAGAAATTGGTTGTGATATACATAAGCTGCAGTTTATATATACACTGCTGAAGTTTAAATGCTGTAGGACTTAATGTGTGACACGCAAATTAGAAAATCTGACTTAATCTAGCATCTTATAACTTGTGTTCTGTCTATACTTAGCAGGCAATTATTTTCATCTGTCAGGCCTACTTTAGTGCTTTCATTGAGTCATAGCCACAAGTGTGAAAAACATCTGGGGATTGCTTTGTTCAATAAGCTTGGGTTTTTGTCTTGAGTGATGAAATGTGCGACCTGAATGTGGAAACAATAGGCCTGGTGTCAGCTGGCGAGGAGATGTGATTCCTTTGTGCTCTTGCAATTACATCTCTCCTGAGAGTGATTTAGGGAAGTTGTATGAATATATTTAAAATCCACAGCTAAACTAGCTCACATGCACGGTAGCGCATAGCTGGAAGTCGCTTAGTGACCAGGGAAGTGAATTACTGACTTCAAATTAAACTCCTGTAATAGAATTATGCAGTAGAATTATTTGAAATATGTTATGACAGAGCCAGTTGGCTAAGCAGCAGCCAGCTAAGCAGGTTGCCAGTTAGATCATAAAACCTAGTGTCAATTTGTAAACTTCATATGACTTTTCTGCCTCTTCAGAAGTAGTTGCAGCTTGGCTTCCTTAAGGAGATGAGTTTAAGTAGTGCTAGTAGTCCTTTATGCTCCTTGAAAACAGGTGTGGTCACTGATTTCACACCTATTTTGGGATTTCCCTTTCTGCCTCTGTCTTACGAATGTTTCTGAAAACTAATCTGGGGACTTTTAACCAAACACTGTGTGGGTGGTGAGGGTGCACAGCTCCAGTTAACATCAGAGTTCTTTAACTTCTTAGAAGTCTAACACTGAGACACTTAGTGTCTTATCTTGGTTTATCAGATGATCGAGCACGTCGGTCTCCTCGGAAGCTTCCTACTTCTTTGAAAAAGGAAGAAAGAAAGTGGGTTCCACCAAAATTCCTGCCCCACAAGTATGATGTCAAGCTGAAAAATGAAGACAAGGTGAGATGACTGCTTGAATCCTTCCTCTTATAACATGAGCATGGAAGCTCAGTTTAATAATCTATAGGTAGTGTATGTAATATGGCATAATACTTCCTGATGGAGTTGGTGTTGGAGGCAAGATGTCTGCAGTTACCAGCAGGGCTGACTAGTCTCACTGTTCCTATATGTAGTTTGGTTTTGTGTGTGGAGACGTGACAATCCCCTGGTACTACACAGAGCTGAGACAGTGCTGCACTGGCTTTAGAGATGCTGCTGTTTCCTGGCTCACCTGCAGTCAGGCTGTGAATGAAACGTGGTGAGGGCTGGGGTGCTGATAGTTGCGAGCAGGAGCAGCTGCTTTTGTTCTAACAGAACCTCATTGAGCATCACAGGGAACTGTGCTTGTGGAAGCTCTGCGTAGCTGCATCACTGCTGCATGCTTTTTGTCATCTGTTTGCCATTTTGATGGAGGCAGCACTGACTTCAGCTTAATGAGTACTGTTTGCAGAGTCTGGTATCAGGGCAGAAATCGAGACAAAACAAACACTAACATGTAAAAGCTTCTAGGTTAGTAGCAAGCATGTGTGAGGAAAGGTCAGAGACTTCTGTAGTTGCCAAGTAAAGCAATGGGCTTTGGCAAGAAGTCTGTAACATAAAATAATACTTCTAAGGATTTTTTGGCTAACTGAGTCCCCTACTCGTCTCTATTAGGTATCTCAGTTCTGTTTCTGAGTCTTTGTGTAATAGTTTGTGGACATGAGGCAGTGTACCAGCCCGTGCTCCTTTTAGCCATGTGATGTCTGTCTGTCATGTGCCTAGATGTTAGATGCTAACAGCATGTGTGCTTATCTCCAAGATCATCAGCAATGTGCCAGCAGACAGCTTGGTCCGTACGGAGCGTCCTCCCAACAAGGAGATCCTGAGGTACTTCATCCGGCACAACGCGCTGCGCGCTGGCATCGGTGAGAACGCCCCGTGGGTGGTGGAGGATGAGCTGGTGAAGAAATATTCTCTCCCCAGCAAATTTAGTGACTTCTTGCTTGACCCGCATAAGGTAAGAGTTCCTAAAACTATCTCCTTCGGAAGGTGGGGAATGGATGACAAAACCAGTTCTCAGCATGCTGGTTTGGTTCTGCTACTCCTGAGCTGAAATTCAAGAGGCCTACAGAGCAGATGCCCTGCTCTTGTCATCTATGACATCTGTATGGAGTGACGCGCTTTAGTTGTCTAAAGCAGTGGTCCACATTAATCACAGAATTGTAGGGGTTGGAAGGGACCTCCAGAGATCATAGAGTCCAACCCCCTGCCAAAGCAGGTTCCCTGCACCAGGTCGCACAGGTCGGCATCCAGGCAGGTCTTGAACATCTCCAGAGAAGGAGACTCCACCACCTCCCTTGGCTGCCTGTTCCAGTGCTCCGTCACCTCACTGTAAAGAAGTTCTTGCGCACATTGGTGCAGAACTTCCTATGCTGCAGTTTCCAGCCATTTCCCCTTGTCCTGTCTCCACTCACCACTGAAAAGAGTCCGGCCTCGCCATTCTGCCTCCCACACCTTAGATACTGATAGACCTGGATCAGGTCCCCTCTCAGTCTTCTTTTCTCAAGGCTGAACAGACCCAGTTCACTCAGCCTTTCCTCATAGGAGAGATGCTCCAGGCCCCTCATCATCTTCATGGCCCTCTGCTGGACACTTTCCAAGAGATCCCTGTCTTTTTTGTACTGGGGAGCCCAGAACTGGACACAGTCCTTCAGATGAAGCCTTACCAGGGCAGAGTAGAGGGAGAGGATCACCTCCCTTGACCTGCTGGCCACGCTCTTTTTAATGCATCCCAGAATGCCACTGGCCCTCTTGGCCACAAGGGCACTGCTGGCTCATGGCCGACCTGTCATCCACCAGGACACCCAGCTCCCTCTCCGCAGAGCTCCCCTCCAGCAGCTCATCCCCCAACCTGTACTGGTGCATGGAATTATTCCTCCCCAGATGCAAGACTCTACACTTGCTTTTGTTAAACCTCATCCGGTTTTTTTTCTGCCCAGCTCTCCAGCCTGTCCAGCTCTCGCTGAATGGCAGCACGGCCTTCAGGCTGTCAGCCAATCCTCCCAACTTCGTATCATCACAAACTTGCTGAGGGTGGCCACTGTCCCCTCATCAAGGTCATTGATGAAGATGTTGAACAAGGCCGGACCCAGCACCGACCCCTGAGGAACACCACTGCTTACAGGCCTCCAACCGGACTCTGCACCACCAACGACGACCCTCTGCGCTCTGCCACTCAGCCAGTTCTCAACCCACCTCACTGTTCACTCATCTATCCCACACTTCCTCAGTTTTGTTATAAGGATGTTGTGGGGGACAGTATCAAATGCCTTGCTGAAATCAAGGTAGACTACATCCACTGCTCTCCCCCCATCCACCCAGCCAGAGGCAACATCATAGAAGGCTACCAGGTTGGTCAAGCACGACCTCCCCCTGGTGAACCCATGCTGATTACTCCTGATAACCTCCTTTTCTCCCAGTTGTCTGGAGATGACATCCAGCACAAACTGTTCCATCGCCTTTCCAGGGACAGAGGTGAGGCTGACTGGCCTATAATTGCCTGGCTCTTCCTTCTTGCCCTTTTTGAAGACTGGAGTGACATTGGCTCTCCTCCAGTCTTCAGGCACCTCCCAGTCCTCCAAGACCTCTCAAAGATGACCGAAAACGGCTCAGCAATCACCTCTGCCAGCTCCCTCAGCTCCTGTGGATGCATCCCATCGGGTCCTATAGATTTGTGAACATTGGTGTTGCCTAGGCGCTCTCGGACCACTCTTCCCTGACTGCAGGGAGGTCTTCCATTCCCCAGACCCTCTCTCTAACCTCCAGGGTCTCGGATTCCCGAGGGGGAGCTTTTTCACTGAAGACAGAAGCAAAGAAAGCATTCGGTATCTCTGCCTTCTCAGCATCCCCCGTTACCAGAACACCCCCGTCACTTAGCAGGGGAGCCACATTCTCCCTAGTCTTCGTTTTACTGTTAATGTAATTAAAAAAGCCTTTTTTATTATCCTTTATCCCCTTTGCCAGATTTAATTCCAGGTGGGCTTTAGCCTTCCTCGTCGCATCCCTGCAGGCCCTGACAACATTCCTGTGTTCTTCCCAAGTAGTCAGACCCTTTTTCCACATTTCATGGGCCTTCTTTCCTTTGAGTTTGCGCATGAGCTCCTTGCTCATCCACACAGCTCTCCTGCCACCCTTTCCCGATTTCCTCACAGGGATGCACTGATCCTGAGCTTGGAAGAAGAGCTGCTTAAATGTCGACCAGCTCTCACAGGCCCCTTTGCCTTCCAACACCCTAGCCCATGGGATCGCAGTTGGCTCTCCTGAAGTCCAGGGTAGCAATCCTACTTTTTGCTTTACTTCTTCCACTCAGGATCTTGAACTCCACCATCTCGTGGTCACTACAACCCAAGCTGCCCCCGACCTTTACTTCCCTGACAAGCCCTTCTCTATTAGTGAGAATAAGGTCCATCAATACCCCTCTCCTTGTCGATTCCTCAACCACCTGCATCAGGAAGTTGTCTTCAACACATTGCAGGAACCGTCTGGACCACACGTGCCTGGCCACATTGCTTTTCCAGCAAATATCTGGATAATTGAAGTCCCTCATAAGCACCAGCACCTGGGATCGTGACATTGCTTCCAATTGCTTGAGGAAAGCCTCATCAACCTCCTCCTCCTGATCAGGGGGCCTGTAGCACACTCCCAAACAGTGTCAGCCATACCAGCCCACCCCTTGATTCTCACCCACAAGCTCTCCACTGCTACACCGCTCTCCCCCAGGTGGAGTTCAATACATTCTAGCTGCTCTCTCACATAAAGAGCAACTCCACCACCCCACCTCGCTGGCCGATCTTTCCTAAAAAGCACACAGCCCTCCATGACAACATTCCAGTCATGCCAGCTGCCCCACCACGTCTCCGTGATCACAATGAGATCGTAGCCATGTGACCGCACGCAGATCTCCAACTCTTCCTGTTTATTTCCCATACTGTGTGCGTTAGTGTATAGACACTTCAGGGAAGCAGCATTCCCCTGCCACACTCCATTCCTTCAAACTCCACCCATCAAGTTCACTTTTGAACCTCGAACTACCCGCACAACCTCAGCAGCCCTCATTTTGTCCCCTTCCCCCTTCTTGCCTAGTTTAAAGACCTTTCGATGAGGCCCGCCAGCTTCTGGGCTAGGATCCTTTTACCCCTTGCAGACAGGTGAGCTCCATCTGCAGCCGTCATACCAGGAGCCGAGTAAATTGCCCCATGGTCAAAAAAACCAAAGTTCTTGTGCCTGCACCAGCCTCTAAGCCATTTATTGATGAGGAGGGTTTTTTTTGATCCTCTCAGTGTCCTTCCCTGCCACTGAAGGGATAGAAGAGAAGATCACCTGCACTCCCGCACCGTCCAGTACCCTCCCCAGACCCTTGAAGTCATTCTCGATAGCCCTTAGGCTTCTCTTGGCAGCATCATCACTGCCAACCTGAACTACCAATAAGGGGTAGTAGTCAGATGGGCGAATAAGCCCAGGCAGCTTTCTAGAGATGTCCCTGACCCGTGCCCCAGGGAGGCAGCACACTTCCCTCCGGGTGGGGTCGGGTCGACATCTCAGGCCCTCAGTTCCTTTTGGAAGGGAATCTCCTACAACTATCAGCCTCCTTTCTTTACTGGAAGAGGCAGTCTGCAAGCGTGGAGCCGACCGCCTCTCCTTAGGAAATCTCGGCGCCTGTTCCACCACCTCATTCTCAGCCTCCTCACCCTCAAGTTGCAGGGTTTCAAACCTGTTACTCAGAGGCACCTGAGGAACCGAGGTTGGTCGGGAAGGGCGCCGCCTGCGTCACTGAGATGGGACCTGCTGCCATTCCTCTTCTCTCAAGTCAGCTCTCTTGGTTTGACCACGGCAAGGGAGAGAGTCCACTACAGGCTGGAGGTTGCAGTCTCTGCTTGTTTCTCACAGAGAGTTACACCACCAGTCCATCTCCCTCTCGCAGTCTCTAACGGATCTTAACCTCTCCACCTCTTCCCTAAGCTCCACCACAAGAATTCACATTAAGAATTCAAGTTGTTCTGTACTCTAACTTGACTCTTCTTAACCTTTCCAGGTCTGCTTCTGGTGTGGGAAAAAGCACACAGCTAACATCTTCCATGTGTTTTGCAGAGGCCCCTAGCTTTGTGGTTCAGGATGGCGCTTCTGCCATGTTTCCCACTCGGCACGGAGATTGAATTTTAAACCAAGAAATGATTGGAGAACTTTTTAATCCAGTGTTCTGGCAAAGTAACTGTTGTATAACTGGCAGTTTAATACACAGCATGAGCTGTGGATCTGTTAACTTGCAGTTACGGTAACTTGTTAACACTGGATGCTTTCAATAGAGAAGTCAACACCATTTTTGTAGAATGAAGTTATGCTTGGATAAGCAGATTCAACTTTGGTGCCATCTTTAGTAAAAAAAAAAAAAAGTCTCTAAACAGCTAATGAGGACTCTTAAATTGGAGTAAGGCCTTCAAGAGTGAACATGCAGAGACCAGAAAATCTGATTTTTTTTTTTTTGACAATCTTGATTGCATGTGTGAGCTGGTTTTACCTAAGTCTGTTCTTACGAGTACCTTCCTGTGAGCTTCCATCTTTATGATAACTACTGCAGAGTTTTTTATTGCTACGTAATTTTTGACTCTTCAGCTGCTGTTTTCTGGTCATTTTATCCATAACCTAAATGTCATATTCTTATAAGTGTGTGATATTTGATTTTTCTCTTATTGAAATGGCTTTCTGAATTCCTGAAACTGAATTGAGTTGCTGAAATCAGTTTCTGACTCTGGGTTAAACTGTTCTATGCTGAAAGTGTGCTGTCAGGTGGATTATTTCAACAGCTTAAAAACAAAATTCTATTACATGAATTCAGAATTGAATTTTCTTTCTTCAGTTTCATTTGTGACCTCATCCTTAAAGTGCAAATGTGGATCGTGAAACTTCCAGGCAGTTCAGGGCAGGTCTCTGAATTGCTGTTAGCCATCACCTCTATGCTCCATCAGTTTTTACCTGGATGAAGTCAAGACTGGACCCTACAGGACTTGCTAAGAAATCTTGAAGTGAAACAGCTTCTGAAATTCACCTTTTGAGAGGAAACAGTGATTTTATGCAGTGCAGTGGAAAGCATTTAAAATCTTTTTGTGTGTGTATGCAATACTTTCTTTTACAAAGTTAAATGTTAACTTTCTGGAATGAGCTGCTAATCTCATAATCAACCTGCTGACTGCTGTGCATTGTAATGAAAGCTATTGCAGAAGCCTTTGTTACCTTAAGGTACTGTGTGCTACTTGCCCACGGGGAAGAAATATGTAAAAGCTATCTAGAGCCTTCATATATCTTCCAATATTAATATTAATATTAATATTGGAATATATTAATATATTAATATTAATATAAAATCCCTTTCTTTTAATCTTAGTATATGACTCTCAACCCCTCAACCAAGAGGAAGAGCTCTGGGTCACCTGACAGAAAACCTTCCAAGAAATCCAAAACTGATGGATCATCTTTGAGTCAGCCACTGAGCCCTACCTTGTGGTGTCACGTGCATTTGGAGAAATCTATTATTGGCTCCCCACTGAAGATGAAAAACTCCAAGATCTCAAAATGTCCCAAAGAGGAGTTGGAAGAGATGATGAAAATCATGTCGCCTGGTAAACTTGATTCTAACTTTCACATTCCAAAGAGGAGCCGACTGGGAAAGGGCAGCAACAAATCCTTGGACAAAAAGCAGAGAGGCAAAAGGGTTTTAAATGGGCAGAAAACGTCTGGGAAATCAAAGTCTCCTGGGAAAGGCTTGAAGACCCCTAAGATGAAAATGAAGCAGATGACGCTCCTGGACATGGCTAAAGGTACCACCAAGGTGTCCAGGACTCCCAGGAGCTCTGGAGGCACCCCTCGGTCTTCCAGCAAACCGCAGAAGCTGCCTCCTGCAGCACTGCATCTGATTGCCTACTACAAAGAGAACAAAGACCGGGAAGAGAAAAAAAGTGCACTCTCCTGCATCATCTCCAAAACAGCCAGGCTGCTCTCGAACGAGGATCGTGCCCGACTTCCTGAGGATTTACGAGGGCTGGTACAGAAGCGCTATGAGCTCCTCGAGCACAGGAAGAAATTGGCCACCATGACAGAGGAGCAGCGGAAGGAGTATCTGAAGAAGAAAAGGGAAAAGCTGAAAGAGAAACTGAAGGAGAGAGCGAAAGAGCGCAAGGAGAAGGAGATGAAGGAAAAACTGGAAAAAAACAGAAGATTTGAGGACCAAGATCTCAAGGGGAAGAACTTGCCCACATTTAAACTGGTTGATACTCCAGAAGGGCTTCCTAATACGCTCTTTGGGGATGTTGCCATGGTTGTGGAATTCCTGAGCTGTTACTCAGGGCTACTGATGCCAGATGCTCAGTATCCCATTACAGCAGTCTCCTTGATGGAAGCTCTCTGTGCAGAAAAGGGAGGCTTCCTTTACTTGAACCGGGTACTCGTCATTCTTCTGCAGACCCTGCTGCAGGATGAAATTGCTGAAGATTATGCTGAGCTAGGGATGAAGCTCTCTGAAATACCACTTACGCTGCATTCTGCTTCTGAGTTGGTCCGCCTGTGCTTACGCAAGTCGGACGTACAGGAGGAAAGCGAGGCCTCAGATAATGTAGATGAAAGCAAGGATTCGGCGACTTTTGAAGATAATGAAGTACAAGATGAGTTTCTGGAGAAGCTGGAGACGTCGGAGTTCTTCGAGTTGACTCCTGAAGAGAAATTACAGATACTCGGGGCGCTCTGCCACCGGATCCTGATGACCTACTCGGTGCAGGATCACGTAGAGGCCAAGCAGCAGGCCTCAGCCGAGCTGTGGAAGGAGCGCCTCGCTATCCTGAAGGAGGAGAACGACAAGAAGAGAGCCGAAAAACAGAAGCGGAAAGAAATGGTGGCCAAGAACAAGGAGAATGGGAAAGATGAAAATGCAATGGGGAGAAACGAGAAGAAAAAAAATGAGATTGTGAAAATTGAGCACCGGGTAGAAATAGAAGCTGATGATATGATCAGTGCTGTGAAGAGCAGACGCCTTCTTGCTATCCAAGCCAAGAAAGAAAGGGAGCAACAAGAAAGGCAAATGAGAGGTAAGAAAAAGAACGGAGACTGGGGTATTTCTGTGTTGGGGGTGGGGTGTAAGGCAGAGTACGTTAATGGACAGTCTTTCCAAAAACTTTATCTGCCTTTAAGGAATTTGCTTAAAGGAAAAAGGAAAGACACAAATATTCTTCTTTACAGGCTGGAGAAAGCTTTAGGTGTTTGTATGGTGGCTCAAAATCTGGAATGTTAAAAATGATAACTGGTTTTAGTTCTGCCTGTGGGCATCTTTTAAACAGTACCTTCTAATTCTGTCAGACTCAGGAAAGCTGGAGAACAGAAAAACTGTTTGGAGGACAGGAGAGGAGGGAGAAAAAACAACCAATGTCTAAACAGCTGTGATTCTGTGATCTTCTGACTCTGCACAGGGAAGTCTCCTGGCTAATGGCAGGCTCCTGCAGATGCTCCACGCATGTTGTCCGATTGATGCTAGCAGGCTTCTCAGAGAAGGATATGGGCAACAAACTTTTGTTCGTGGTTTCTCACTTCAAAGGAGTTGTAATGGAGTTGTATGAATGCAGGCTGTCCCCTCAAGACTCTATAAATCACCAGTTACTCTGAACTTGGGATGCCTCTATTAGCGCTTTTTGCTAAGGAGCGTGGAATATGAAGAGTGAAGCACTGCAATGTGCTTCTGGGTTTGCTTGGTGTTCTTTTGGTTGGTTTTTTGTAAACTTGGACAGATGGAAGTGGACAGCATGACCCCACCTGAGTTATTTCCTTTGTGAAATAGTTGAGGGATGAAGATCTCGCATGGAGCCTGGTTTATGTGACCTTAGTGGAGTCTGGAAATATTTGTTCTAGAGATCGAGGGTAGGTAAATTCTATGGAATATCCCAGGGCTCTGAAGGGAAGTATCGTACTGGACACAACCCTAACTTGCACTGAAAGTAATTACACCTTTTAGATCGTCTGGTAAGGGATGCAGGTGTTGGAAGTCTCACTAGAATCAATCATCAATCTCAGTGTCAATTAAAAACTGGTAACTATTCACTTGATGCTCAGCCAGAGGGCATTTGGTTGATGCTTGTTCACAGGTGTCACGCCTTGTGCTGCTTCCCCTGCAGATTGGTTTCTGTTTGACCAGGGGTCTCTCGCTGAGTGCAGTACTAATAAATCTCACTGGTCTGGCTTAGATCTCTTACTCCCACATCATAGACATTCTGAATATTGTGGGTTTTGCTTTTTTTGTTCTTGTGCTGTGAGCTGTGGCTTTTACCACGCCCACAGATTTTCTGCATTTATTTATATATATGCATATATATTATAGATGTATTTCATACAGTTAACCTCTTACTGACTGATTTTACTTTGGTTTCCCTTTTCCCATGGAGCATCTGGAGCATTGTCTCACTAATGCAGAAAAACAAAGTATCAGGTGTCAAATAGACTGCAGCTGGATGGCTGCTTGGCCCTGGGTCTTGTGTTCCAGTTGTTTCATGGCAAGTTTGTGACAAAGCCTTACTACAAAATGAAGCACAATCCAGACACTACTGCTGCTTGAGCTGCTTCATGTTGTTTTCACTTGGATAGTTTACACTAGTGAGATGTGAAGGAAAAACAATGCTGTTCTGAAGAAGATAAGATTGTGTGCTGGGTAGCTTGATTCATTCCTGGAGTCCAGAAGAAAAACAAGCTCTCTCTGGCAGAGAAGGATGCAGCCTTTCATCGAAGTTTGACTTCGTATTACTTCATTTCCATCCAGCAAAGTCCAACATTTCAGTTATCCAGGACTACATTTACCTGTTCAGTGGTTACTAGCAGACATAAAGATACCCTCATAGCAGCAGAGTTCTGGGTTAATGCTGATGGTGCAGTAGTTGGGCTGTGGGGTCAGTGATGCTGAGCCAATCTGCTCAGGGCTTCAGACTCTGGGGGGTGTGTCATTGGAGCATGTGAAAAACAGAGCTTCGTTCCCACTGTGGTTATCATCTCAGCATGCTCCTTCCATCAGACAGACTTTTTGTGTCTTTTGCACCCTGTCAGTTGCATTTACTTTTAATAATGGTAATGTCTTTTGGAAGTAAAGCAGTTGCAGACAAAACACCTGAGTGGTTGAGCTGGTGGATGTGTGTGTGTGTGTGTGTGTGTGTTGCAGCCAGAGGTGTCCTTGTTGCTGCTTGAGTCACATCTGTGGAGCTGCAAGCTCCAACTGCTTGAAAGTTAAGCCTATGAAGATCGCAGCCAGTACTCCTAAGTTGGTCTCAGCTTTAACAGAAAAGAAAGTAACGGGAGGACTCTCATGCTGCAGTTACTGAAAGTTGGTTAGTGTTGGTGTGTTAGTATGTGAAAGCTGATCAGTTGTGTTGGTGTAATAAATGCAGGGGTATGTCTTTCAGCACATCTCATTAGTCTGTTAGGGTTGGTCACGGTGGCAGGACTTCAGAAACCAAGCACATACTTACCAATCAACTGTTACCAAAGCTATTTTAATGCAGCGAATGGCTGCAAGAGAGTAGGTAGCAGCCCCGGGAAAGTTCTAGCAAGAAACTGCCTTTCTCTTTGAGTGAGCAGCTAGCGTACAACCTCTGCATGTTAGCTTTTGCCTGCCCTACAGCTCACCCCTTCCATATGCTCTTGTTCCATCTGCTCAAACTCTTTACTGTAAAGATAAGTCTTCATTATTTGGTTCTTTTTATAGAAGGCTTAAAAGCCTTCAAACTTTCTCAATGCAAAAGAATATTTCCCACAGTCTCATTTGTTTAAATGCTTCTCCACAGGGTGGCATATCTGGGAAAGAACAAAACGTTAAGACTTACTCATGGTTGTGAGACACTTGTGTCTAGAGGAGGTTTCTGTTGTGCTGCATCTGTCTGCTCAGTATGTGAACTTGTAGGAACACCATTCTTCATAGCTGCAGATGTGGAGATGCAGGTGCCTGTTGGCCATGCTCATCTCTATCATGTTCTTCCTGCTCTACTCTCAGCCTTAGAGCCGACTAGAGCAGAATTCCTTGTTCTGTGTTGTGCTGTAGTTAAAGAAAGATCTTTGATTCTGTTATGTGGAATTGCATAGCAGTAGTTATATAGTAATAGTCAACTTTGTTGACTTATAAGGAACAATAATGAGGAATGTTTTCTCCAGTCTGTTCTTATCCAAACTTCACTTCTTGATAATTTTTTTCTATAATGGTGGGTGGAAGATGATGTGAAGGGTGGATGGCTAAAGCAGTCGTAACCAAAGTTACCAATAAATGATTTTTTTTTTTCCTGACCAAGTGGAATGAAGGATGATACTCATATACATATGCAATAACAGAAAGCTAACTCTTCCACACACTAATTCCAACAGTGAGAATGGAGAAGGAAGCAGAGGAAGAAAGAATCCGGAAGCATAAAGCTGCAGCTGAGAAGACGTTCCAGGATGGGATTGCCAAAGCAAAGCTTGTGATGCGCAGAACCCCAGTTGGCACTGACCGCAATCACAACAGGTAGGAAAGGAGGTGGCCCCGTGCTGCTGGCTCTCCTCCCTCCCGCAGGAGCAGATAACAGCTTCCAAGAAGTGGTTGATGTGGAGGGTACTCTGCCTGCACTGAAGTTTGGAGGAGAGCAGAAACAAAGTTTGTGCGTACAGAATGTGGTAGTTTTCACTCATTTACGTAGTTGGCTGTTTGGAGGTTACAGCCCACGAGCCAGCGGAGCTTCAGTGCTCAAGAATCCAGTTACTGTCTTCTCCCTCTTTGTTTTGCAGGAGTGCTCTCGGAATGAATTTTAATAAGAGTTTTTCCAGTTTCTCAACTAAATGTATAGATGCACCCAGATATTAATTCTGAGAACAGATATTCCCTCACATGCAAGCAAAGATGTATGTGTGTGACAGTCACCAAACAGGTAACAGGTGGCTGCTAACGTGTCTATGTGCCTTGCCCTGCAGGTATTGGCTGTTCTCGGATGAGGTCCCTGGCTTGTTCATTGAGAAAGGTTGGGTACATGACAGTATAGACTACAGATTCATCCTTCCTCATCAGAAAAAAGAAGAAGCCAGAAAAGACTACAGCTCAGGAGGTATGATCAGCCAGCCTCTCTGTGGATCTTTCCCTTGTTGCTGTCTGATTGTTAGGATGGGTTTATGAACTGAAGGGAGAACTGGCCAGTCTTCGTGGGAGTCCTCTGTTCTCAACCTGCTGTGCACGCAGGGGAGCCCTCACATGGGGAGTTTGTTCATTATGGTCTCCCTGCTGCGGATTTTGAGACTGCAGTGTAGCACTGAAGCACCATGGGATATGATCATCTCTCTTAAAAGCAGTCAGTATCAGCTACAGAATAACTGCTCTGTTTTACTTGGTACCTGTTTACTTACCATGTGCCAAACTTCTTGGCAAGCTAAGCTCCACCAGTGACAAAACTCACAAATTCATCTGTTTGCCACAGAGAACAAACATGCTGCTTTTTCTGTGGGAATCAGTAAGCTAAGCTGCGACCAGGTGCTGTCATTGTAGAAATCTCAAGGCCTGTTTACTACTTTTCTGTAGACCCCTCTGGGATAGTGTCAAGCAGAGAAGTCTTCTAGATACTCACAGCTTTGCTGATTGAGGCCATTTTGGCAAATAGTCGCTCTTGCACATCCGCTCAGCCTGCTCTTCACCTTGTCATGAATGTGTTGATGAGGTGGAAGGATTAACCAAAGATCTGTCTCTTGCTCTGTGATTTTTGCTTTGGTGGCGTGGTGCCTGGGTGGTCAAACACTGCACTAGGAAGTGGTTAGGTGTTGTAGGTTGTGGTCAGCAGCTCTGTATCCAGGTGGAGGCCAGTCACGAGTGATATTCATGCTCTTCAGTATGTTTATCAATGACATAAGGAATGGGATTGAGTGTATCCTCAGCAAGTTTACAAACGGCATCAAACTCAATGGTGTAATTGACACAGTAGAATAATTAAGGTTGGAAAAGTCCTCTAGACCATCTAGACTGACCTTGGTGTTGATTATATCAACCTATCATCACCATGCCACTAAGCCCCATCCCTCAGTGCCACATTTCTGCACTTCTTGGAAACTCCTCTGCCTCCCTGGTAGCCTGTTCCAATGCATTTCCTCTCTTTTGAAGAAATTATTCCTAATATCCAATCTCAACCTCCTGTGGTGTGCCAGAAGGCTGTCATTTCTTGTCCTACTGCTGTTACCTGGGAGCAGAGACCCTTGCCATACCAGTCAGGATGCTGCTGGCCTTGTTGGCTGCCTGGGCAAAGTGTTCATGTTGGCTGGTTCATGATCAGCCTGCCATTGACTAATGCACTACACTGACTGATACACTTGGATCCTTTTCCTCTGCGCATCTTTCCAGTCACTCTGCCCCAAGCCTGTAGCATTGCATGGGACCAAAGTGCTGGAACCTGTACTTGGTCTTATTGAAGCTCATCCCATTGGCCTTAGTTGTCAGTAAAGATATTAAACAGATCTGCCTCCAGTGCTGACTCCTGGGGAGCACCACTGGTGACTGGCCACCTCTGGCCTGCTCTGGGCTCAGCCCTCCAGCAGAGTTTTACTCAGCAAAGCGCGCATCTGTCCCAACTACAGGCTGCAGCTTCCCCAGCAGAATGCTGTGGGAGGCACTGTCAGAAGCTTTACTAAATTCTGAGTAGTCTGTGCTGACAGCCTTTCTCTCATCCCCCCGTGCTGTAGAACAAAGTCAGGCTGGTTGGGCAGGACCTGCCCACACTGGCTGGATCTGATCTCTGGTGGTTCTGCATGTGCCTCATGATCATACTTGAGGCAGCGTGCCCTCTGACCTTTCCTAATACCAAGATCAGGCTGTAGTTCCTCAGACAATTGAGAAATTGGCCCAGCTGGACCAAATGTTGTTCAACAAGCAAGCCCTGCAGAAAGGACTTGGGGTTCTGGAGCAGGGAAAGCTGACCTGAGCCAGCAGCGTGCAGCCCGCAGAGCCGCCAGCAGCCTGGGCTGCATCGGCAGAGGGGTGGCAGCGGGCAGGGAGGGGACTGTCCCCCTCTGCTCTGCCCTCGTGAGGCCCCACCTGGAGTCCTGCGTCCAGGCCCGGGGCCCCCAGCACGAGAAAGACGTGGGGCTGTTGGAGCGGGTCCAGAGGAGGGCACGAGGTGCTCAGAGGGCTGGGGCACCTCTGCTGTGGAGCCGGGCCGAGGAGCTGGGGGTGTTCTGCCTGCAGAAGAGAGGAGAGCTCACTGCAGGCTTCCAGTATAAAGGGAATTTGTATGTAGGAGAGAAGATTGACTTTATATGTGGTCTGATAGTGATGAGACAAGGGGGAGTGGCTTTAAATTAGAAGAGGAGAGATTTAGGTTAGAGGCCCTGGTTCTCTGCCTAGAGCTGCGAGTTCTCCATCTCTGGAGGTACTTAAGCCGTGAATGTGGTATGGCAGCTGGCAGGGGACAACCAGATCATGGCAGGGATTGGGACTGGCTGTGCTCTAAGGTTCCTTCCACACCATTCCAAAGTTCTGTGAAATGGTTGAAATGCTTTTCTTAATTTAATGAACGTGCTTTAGGATGTAATAATATTTTCTTGAAGAATTGCTCATCTTTGTGTTTCTGTAAGTGCTACTACTGTGGGCTTTAGCAAAGTAATTTTGGATTGCTTTTCTCTGCCAAATGCACTGTTGGTAGAAGTGTTGATTGGAAGTACTTAACTGAAGGTAGGTTAGTTCTTATGAAATAAAGTATGTCTGAGAAGAAGCACGAATAAGAATTTGAGCTTGTGCTTTTTTTTTTCCAGACAAGCGGAAGAGCACAGCCGCTGATGGCAGAATGAGTGCACTTCACAGGTCTGCATGTGCTGCAGACCTCCCTGCAGAGACCACTGCACCCAAGCAAGGACAGAACTTATGGTAATACATGCTTTATAGCTGCAAAATACTCAAAGCATAAAGGTCAAGGAAACTGTACAGAGAAGTCACTTAATAGGTCCTACTGTCCTGCATAGTCCTCTTTCAGTGTTTAACTGCTGAATTAGTTTATAGGCCTGCCAGACCTCTGTAACTGATATTACTAACAGTGAATAGTGAATGGCAGCTGATCCAAGAGACTGTAGAAACACTCTGTTTAATTTAATTAAACTTAAAGCCAATCTAAATTAACACTTTTTTGTTGTATCAATTTTACCTATTTTATAATGAGGAAAATTCTTATTTGAAAAGATTCGCTGTGTCTTTTGTTGTTTTTAATTCTGCTTTCAGTATTGGCAAGCTGTATTTTGAACAAGAATCTGTGGGAGCAGTGACTTACCTGGTTGTCTAGGTTTTTGTTCATGGCTCGTCTTAACAGGCCTGAACTGTGGCTCATGGAGTCCTTCAGCAGATGAAACAGCCTCTGTATAGCTGTACATATTGCTGTCTTTGGAGCCACATGTATAGGCTGCTCGTTCTTCTATCACGTAAGACATGCAGAGCAGTCCCCCAGCTCCTTCTTTCTTTCTAGGTTTCACAGCAAGTTGGGAGACTGCATTTGTTCTCCTATAACGCCATTATGTGGAATTGTTTTTTGTTGCTATTGATGATTGTTAGAGCTTAGCAAAATATTTTTACGTGTGGACAGCCAGTTATCCCTTTAATACTTCCTAATGCCAAGATGTAGCCACCAACGTGTCTTCAAAATGAATCAATTGCATGTGAACAGTCTACCTTTGAGCATGTTTGACCTGCTCCACTGACTGGTTCTATTAGTGTCTTTAAAGAAAGTCTATGTCAAGTGTTGCATTGGATGGTAAGGAGAAGTTAGCATTGTCCCCATGACAGAAGAAAAAATGGCCCCGCCTGTACCTACCAAATTACTTGTGAAGGACTGTGGTTATCCATAACCTTGAAAACTCACAAAGTACTGATGCCTGCAGTTCCTTTATAAGCAGTGTCTTTTTCCCCTAGTTTTCTCCTGCTGACAAGTGGGATTTCTCCATCTTTGCCAAATATCACTAGTTTGTGATTTGAGCTCCAAAGTGTAGTTTTGCTGCTGCAGGTCAGAAATCCTTTACCAAAGGTCTTCCTCCTCTCCCATCAAGAACTGCTGAGGAGACTGACATTTGTGGACATCTTCGTAATTCTCTTCCCTTGCCTTTCATTGTTGGAGGGCTGTAGGAGAAAGCGAGGATTCCCCTGTGTACCTTCACTCTGTCTAGTATTGCAGTGGGAGATCTCCACCTCTTTTCCAGTCTAAATCATTGCACATCTTGTTACGTGGCCAAAATTCAGGAAATAAGTTATTCCTAGAGCATGGGTGCTAAATAAGAGGTTGTAGATTGTATGATTCACAAGAAAGTTTGTTCAGCTCTTCCTTAACTGCCTCTTTTACTACTACTTCATTCAGCAGGGGTGGAAATACATGTTCCAGTAGAAGGACAAATTATGAAAGAAAAGCCATAGCTTAAGCTACTAGTGCACACTGCTATGAATTCAAGGTAATACAGAGCCAAATCAGATGAGCTATGTAATACAGAACCCCTGTGAGTTGTAATTCTAGGCTGAGTTTGAAAAAGCACAGCATTTCAGACAGCACTGCTGAATTTCTCAATCAGGTTGGCAATTTTTGCTGATGTGCTGAGAGGATCGCCAGCTTACAAGGCTTAAAAGTGCTTTATGGAGTCAGGAGAGGCAGCTTTATGAACCAGGTGTTGTCTCAGGACAGAGTTATATTCTACTTTTGAAGAGCAGCTTTGTAAAAAGTGACAAGAATACTGAATCTAAGCATACTATGGTGTTTAAAAAAAGAGAACAAAATAATTAAGAATCTTAGTTTAAAAAACAAACAAACAGACAACAAACCTTAAATTGGCAATACAAATACAAAACAGTAGAAACCTAAAATGCTTTCAAAAACTTTCAAAGAGATCATGAAATCATAGAGTCGTTAAGGTTGGAAGGGACAGTAGTCCAACCCAACCCAGCCATGCCCAAAGTCACTCAGTGCCACATCTCCACAGTTCAAGAGCACCTCCAGGGATGGTGACTCCTTCACCTCTCTTCTGGAGAGGAAACTATTCCTGATATCCAGCCTGAATGTCCCCTGGTGCAACTGGCCTTTCTACACCCAGGCAGATCAATTCTTCCTCCCAGCTTGGTGTCATTTGAGAACCTCCTGAGGGTGCACTCAATCCTCTCCTCCGATCGTCACTGAAGGTATTAAACAGATGTGGTTCCAGTACCAATCCCTGGGGAGTGCCCTGGTGATGGCCACCAGCTGGATGGGCCTCCACCCAGCACTGCTCAGAGCCTGGCCCTCAGCTGTGTTTTACCCAGCAAAGTGCACATCTATCCCAGTCCCGGGACAGATGTGAGACAAAGCCTTCACTAAATTCGAGGTGGTTATGTCCAGCCATACCCTCATCCACCAGGTGGATCACCTTCATAGAAGGATTGTTTAGTTTCCATGCTAGGTAATGCCTCTTACCTTTAGGAAAGAAAGTTTTTAGGAAACTGGGGGGAAAAAAACAACAGCAGTAAGGAAACATTCTCAATATGGCTCATTTCAGGATGAGGATTTTATTAAAAGTAAGAAGGCATGCCTAGTAACTGCGGTTGAGTCTAATGAAAGAAATGAAAAGGAGCTTAAACTGAAGTACAGACCAAGGACAAAACAATTCTTCTCAGTTGGGAGCAATCTTGTTTCACAAGATCTGTTGTTACAGGGCCTGGCAGGAGCTGAAGTGCCTTAAGTTGAGAAGGAAGCTTTTCTCATGAGAGAATAATTGGCTGGGAAGCAAATTACAGAAATACTGTATTGTGTCTGTGTTCAGCAGGGTGATAGCAAGTAATGTTAGTGGAGAAGTCTCCTTAAAGTGCATTTTATTTTGATGCAGAAACAGGGGACCAAAAAATTAAACTAGGAAATGGCAGTTGTTGTTGTTGTTCAAATAGAGAGGAAAGAACTACTTCAGATCTGCTGATATCCCCGACTCACTGCTCCTGGCTGCTGTGGATCTTCTCGTTTGTGCCTGTGCAGCAGTTGGAGAAGCCACTGACAGAGGAGTTTGTTGATGACTGCTAAGCACAGGCGTTCTTGTCCTGGCACTCAAGAAGGTTATGAAAGAGCAAATGCTGAAATCTGAGGGGCAGGTTTAAGAACTGTCTCTGTATGCCTGCTCTGCTCTTCTGCCACTCAGAAATAAGATGCTGGGCTAGATGACTTTTTTTGTCTGACTCTTCTGTTATATAACGTCTTCGATTTCTGTCCTATCTGATGGATGCTAGGAAGGACTGTTAAGAATCGTAGCATTTGCTGATTTTTTTATTTTTTTGTTTTTTTACTGAATGAAGATATCTTGCCTGTGTGCACTGGTCTCACAACCAGGTTGGTAGCAAGCAGTGAAGGTGGATGGTCTGAACCAGATTTACACCTTCATGCCCTTAATTGAGCAGAGGGTACAATGGCAGTTTGCTAAAGAGCACATAATCACTTCAGACTGAATTCTTTTCTGCACTGGCTGCATGAATTTCTCCCGACAGGACCACCAAAAGCCATTTCTACAGAGAAACAGTAAGCTCCCTCCACTGAAAGACTTTCTTTGAAGCTCTAGAACTGCAGAGAGCCTTTCTGACAGCTATCACTACAAAAGGGAAAGCAGAGGTGACCTGAGATCTGTTACTTGAAGGGACAGCAGCAACTGCGATTTCCCTCTAGGAAATCCATATTCCTGTTACAGCATTTTGCTTTCTGGCCATCGCCATTGATCTCTCCTTTCTCAAGGACTCTCATGAGTTTAGATGGTACAGAACTGTCTCCTCCTTGACTGCTTTTTCATATTGTCCTTGCATACCCTGAAAGGCCTTGAAACTGCACTGAAATCCTTGGACATCGGTACTCCCGTATTGTTTGCATGCTATAGCTCATAATGTTGGCATGTGGTGTATAGAAAGTTTCATTTCTTTGTGTTCTGCTGCATCTTCTGCCTCTTTCCTGGTAGTGCATCTAAAATGAAATTAAGAGTAGCCTCACACTGCACATATAGCAAGGTAAAGCTACAGCTGTTCTTCATTTAGGTCTTTGAAATCAGTACCAGATTAACTCCTTGATGTGTTGTTTTTCACAGTCTTGCTCCTTTTCTCCTTGAGAATGGGAATTTATGGGACAATAGTAAGGGAAGAAATAGAATCCGTAATTCCCCAACAGCTACAGGAACAGTACCTCATGGAAGTGGTTTTTGCTTTTGGAGTACTTTGCCCTGCAAAAGAAGAGGGCCTGCTCTCTGATCCTAGAAGTGGTGAAGCTGAATATCAGTTTCAAACCATAAAGGTCTATTTCAAATCATAAATGCATGGATGTTTGCCACTCTTCTGCCAGGAAAAGACAGAAGAACCACACTCACTGATGTTGATGCCTATTAAAATCTCCCTGTTTAAAGATTCTGGGCATTATGGTCCTTGAGAAAGTCTTGTGTCCATGCTTTAGTGCTTTGTGTGATACATGTGCACCTGTCTTTCTGACAAGAACCATGGGTTAATTGAAACCTTTCTAGTAGTACATTAGTGCACAATAGACTTTTCACTTATCCTGCTCAGGAATCACAGGTGTGTATACAGACTGGGAGGAGCAAACCTTGAGAGCAGCCTTGCAGAGAAGGGCCTGGGGGTTCTAGTGGATGAAAAGCCAGCAGTGTGCTCTTGCAGCTTGGAAAGCAGGTGGTGTCCTGGGTTCCATCAGCAGAGGGGTGGCCAGCAGGGACAGGAAGGTGACTGTCCCTCTGTACTCTGCCTTCATGAGGCCCAATCTGGGGTACTGCATCCAGATCTGGAGCCCCCAGTACAAGAAAGACAGAGCTGTTGGTGTTGGAGAGGGTCCAGAGGGAGCCACAAAGATGATCAGGGGACTGGAGCAGCTCCCCTGCAAAGGCAGGATAAGGGAGCTGGACTTGTTCAGCCTGCAGAAAAGAAGGCTGCGGGGTGACCTCACTGCAGCCTTTCAGTATAAACAGGAGGGGAATCAACTCTTTGAAAGGATAGATAACAGCAGGATGGTGGGGAATGGTTTTAAGTTGAAGGAGGGAGCTTCTTTACGAAGAGAGCAGTGAGGTGCTGGAACAGCTGCCCGGAGAGGCTGTGGATGCCCCGTCCTTGGAGGCGTTCAGGACCAGGTTGGATGGGGCCCTGGGCTGGTATAAATGGGGAGGTTGATGCCCTGCCTGTAGCAGGGGGCTGGAGCTTGATGATCCTTGAGGTCCTTCTGACCCAAGCCATTCTATGATTCTATGAAAGCAGTTGCATTTTAAAAATAGTGGCATCTCTGCAGAGTAACTCCCATTGTTCTTCATCTATTAGGAATACACCATGGTATGGCGGGTCCCCTCAGCAGACAATTTGAGTTAACCATGCGTGGGTGCTGACAGACTCCATTCTCACGCCTATATTCTACAGATGGAGTTTCCCTGTTTCTACCAACCCTCCAGAGCAGGTACTGATCCTGGGCTCCTCTAGATGTTGTCCTCCTGATTTCCTCATTCCGTAGTCTGCAGTCCAGGTTTTATACCTTTCTTTCTGTCCCTTGCAGCATGAGAACAAGTGGGAATATTCAACCCAAGTGCATGTGAACAGCTCCTTTTGAGTGAATACTTGTATCACGTTCCCTCTGTTACAACTGCTGACCAGCCTGCTGGCTTGTGCTGCTAGATGTGTAAGGAGAGAATCCTGGCTGTTATTTAGGCCTTTAGCCTAGACAGGTTACCCCATTTGTGGTCAGTTTGAAGGCCTGCATCTGGTCTTGGTTCTCCCATGGGCATCATTTCCATTACTTCAGATTGTGTTATTGTGTATAAGTTCTATGTCAAGCTACATGAATGGCACCAGTTACTTTCCCTTCCTACTTACTAAGAATCACAAGATCATGGACCTGTTGTCTCCTCATTTAAAATACCAGCCCTCTTTGTAGTGTCCATGCTCCCAGCCTTGTGAGCCCTAGTTGGAGGTGCAGATGGTTCCTTTGGGGGTAGGGAGTGCATGGAGCTGGTTTGGGAAGCAGGAGCTGTAACTGCACATAGCAGCACGGTGTCACTGACCACAGGTGTTTCTTTGATGTGTTTATATTGTGTGCATTTGAGTTCAAGCTGATGTAAAAAATCCTACTCCTAGAAGTCCTAGTTCTTACTCACTGGGAGGATTGAGAAAACTTGAGTTTGTCTGTTGCAGGTACTCTCCTTTCCCTGTTTCCTTTTCAGCAGGAACAAACTTGTGCTAGTTTAGCCCACAGGTTTCCAGCCTTTTGGCTTGCCTGAGCCACAGTTAGTGAAGAGGAATTGTCTAGGGCCACGTCTACAAAGGTTGCTCTTGAACAAGTGCCTCTTAACTAGTTTCCCTGGAAACTGCAACAGATGCAGAGAACACAAGAACACTATTCAGTAGAGCAAATTCTCAGCCACAGAACACTCTTTTTCAGTGTAGTCACCACTAGCTATGTATTTTCACCAGCAGTGAGCAAGAGCCTGCATGCTGCACTCGTAACAACCTGCACTGGTGGAGCTGTGACCCACTGCACTGTCACCACTGCTGAAATGCACCACCCTCCTCTCTCAGCGCTTGCATCCATGGTTGGTGTCCATCAGCGTTCAGCAAGTGCCCATGTTTGTCAGTGATGCCACTTTTCCCTTGTGGAGGAGTTCAGTGACACACCTGTGCTTCATATGTGCTTCCATGTTGGATGCTGTTCTGTCAGGTGTGACGGGGCAGTGGTGGGAAGGATCAACCTCTACTGCTGTGCCACCAACAGCTTCTGACACTGTGGGCCAACGTCATAAAACAGAAGGCACTACCTTCAAACAGCCCTCATAAAATATATGATACTGTTGATGTATACAAGTAACGAAACTTTAGTTTTTAATATATTGAATATATAAAAAAGACAAAACACAGGCCCAGTTTCTGGGAAACTAACTTATCTTTGTGGTTTGATGAAAGTAGCTGCAATTCCCTGAGCTCTCAAGGTGTTCATCAGAGGTTGTGGATGAAGTTTTACTCTTCCTGTTCTTCATCATTCAAAACAGCACAAATGTTCGTACTGCCAGAAAGCAGAGAACAAGGAGCCATTGTGAAGTGAGGGATGTTTCTCTGGTAAGAGAGGGCTTATAGAAGTCTGGCAAAGAGGCATGATCAAATTTTTGATTACAGTTCTATACATTCCATTTGAAAATTTGCAAGTCGTGTTTTTACGTCGACTTAAAATGGAGTCACAAATAATCCTGGAAGTTGGCGATTTTGTTGGCGATCTTGAGACAGGTTTCAAATTCCTTTATCAAAACGCCCAGCATGGCTGCGGGTTGTTCTCTGTTCACAGGACCGTGTTTATCTGAAGTGGCAAAATCCATAAACTTATTTGTCATAACTTGAGTCAGCACTGCACCATGCCCTCCCCGTGCCCACTTCCAGGGGCAGTAGTGCACTGGTGTTCGCTTGGTGCCCAGTGACAGTTGCACCACAGTGAAGCAATGGCCTGCATGCAGCCCATGGGTGCCTGGATGGCCCCACCTGCCTTCCTCACAAGGATGTTCCTCACAAGGATGTTCCCTGCTTTCTCATTCTGGCTGGCAGCCTGCGTTCTTTCCCCAGACGGTGTAGTTGTAGACTCCCAGTGCCTTATGTTAACTGTTTCCAGTGGCCTTTCGTTTCGAGCAGAGAGGAAAACTGTGCAGGAAATTCCCCTCTTAGTTGCGTAGCTTTGGAGGAAAACTGAGAAGCTGGGGTAGAAATATCTTCTCAGATATTTCCCAAATGAATCCCATGTAAGCAGCAGTGATTTAATGCTGTTTTATCACAACCTAGGCAACCTTCTTAACACACTGGGTAATAGTGCTCTTTGGGTATCTGCAGGATGACTGGAAGCTTGCTTCGTGCCATTCCCATGCTGTGACAAGCTCTTTCTTCTGAAACATGGTTTAGGATCAGTCCAAAGGTTTACCCCAAGGTTTTGGCAGCAAGTTGATGCTAAATAATCTCGAGGAATGTCTCTATTTAGCACAATTCCAGTAGACTTAGAAATGCCAGACTTTGTAATGATCTGTCTGTAGACCTTCAATGAATGTAGGAATGCTGATCACGTCACTCACCACAAGTGGCATCTGCAAGAAAAAGACAGGATTTGTGTTGTTTGACATTGTTTGACATATGGTTATTATGGGATTGTGTCAGTGTCTGTTGAGTCATGTGACCAGCCCTTCATTGCTTCAGAAGTGCCTGTGCCAGGCTCCAGTGGGTGAGGGATGTTTGGAGCTGCTCTGTCCTGTTCCTTGCAGGCAGAGTGTGCAGAAATGGTGGCCAGAAGATCTGATCTCTGTGTGCAAAGCGAGGATGCCCTTCAGTGTTGGGGTGTACTGAAGCAGATGATTGGCAAGGGACCATTTTTCTTCTGTTTTTAGACAATTCTGTATTTTATTAGCGTAATCAGTTTAATAAAGCAATGCAGGTTGTCAGGCTGTTCCCCTAACATAAGCATACTAGCGCTGTGAAATACTTTTTTTCCAGATGAGATACTTAGTAAGGATTTCTCCCAGGATAAGAACCCATTGCAGACACTGATATTCCAGGAGAGTCGAACAGCACCCTTCTCTAGCTGTAAGTTGGTTCATCTGAGCTTGTGCCCAAGAAGAAAACTTAGATCTCAGGTCTTCTCTGTGACTGGCGAGGATCACGTCATGGTGATCACTTTGTGCTTGTTTCCATTTAAGATTTTGCTGATCCTTCAGTTCCCTTTTGTAAGGAGCAATCATCTGCTAGCTACGTGTTTGTATTTTATTTTTTGTAAGCCCAGGTCTGCCAGTGCTCGCACCAGTACGTGATTCAGGAGATGAGGCACGGAGCCATCACAGGAAAGAACAAAAAGAAAAAGAAAGGTGCAGGTTTTCAGGATATCAGAAAGCTTAATTTGACCATACAGCCCTGCATCATGACCAGCAGTGTGGTTGCACTCTGCAGTTGCTGGAAGTGCCTGTTTAGAGAACTGTGCAGAAGTTTTGCCCTTTTAGATTCAGCTAACTGCAGGCTACCATTGCTCTCTTGAAGGACTTTGTGAGCAGAGAGCTGATGAGAGCAGAAAGCTGATGAATGTGATTCCTAGATACTATATTTAATCTTTCAGGTTAATGCAAGCTTCTTAGAAGGGAGATCTTCTGCACTTGTGGAGGGCATGGCTTTCTGTCTCAAATCTGTAGCATCAGCTATCGTGGTGTAAACTGGAACATACTCTTTTTGATCTAGGGGCTGTGGGGCTTAATGAAATCAGTTGAAGGCTCTACAGAAAGAATGATTAAATTGCCATGCTATGCAGTGCATAACATGTTAATCTTTTCTAGTGCATCAAAAATGACATTCAGATTGCTTAAGCTGACTGCAATTCAGTGAATCTAATCCCTAGGGCAGATTACTAAATTCAAATACCAGTGTTTTAATAAACTTAGTGGGAGGAGACATCTATAAATTAGTTCTGTGTTTATTTTGTTTTTGTTCTTCTTACCCTGAAATGGGCTACATTTGGGGACCTTGAAATGAGGCCAGTCTTACAGAAAAGCTGGTATAAGCATTTTGCCTAAGTTTTTCACCTCGTCCCTGGGGTTGGGATGTAGATTAATTGTCATTGCTGTCTACTAATTCTTGTGAAGTGCTTAAGAAAAGGAGCTGCTGCTGCAGAGATGGATTAGCTGATGTTGGTGAATGTTGTATCTTCCAGGTTTCTCTGTGACAGTCAGAAGGACTTGGATGAGCTGATAGACTGCCTGCATCCACAAGGAGTAAGAGAGAGCCAGCTAAAGGAGCGCTTGGAGAAAAAGTGAGCCTGCTGTTTCCCTGTGTCTCTTCTCAGTTTCACAGCACATCCTCACCATAGCAAGCTTTTCCATTCCTGTGGCAACATTCAGCACTTCGCTTTGATTGTGCCTGTGCAGGGGCAGATAACAAGAATGAGAAATTGTTCTTTTGTAGACAGTAACTACAAGTATTACTCAATAAGTAATGCTCAAAATCAGGAGGAGGTTCAGTCTTAAAGGTGCTCCTCGCAGCTTGCAAAGGCAGTGCTGTTCCATCCGCAGAGGCAGAGCTTTGCTTGCTTTAAAGCATCCTTCAAGGAGCGTTCCATACTGGTGGAGCATGTGGCTGTTATTGGAAGCTGTTGTTGCCCAGCACACTGACAACTCACAAGGCACTGGTCTGCATGCATTCAAAGGCTTTTCTTGATTTTCTAGGTATCAGGACATCACACATTCTATGCACTTGGCTCGGAAACAGAACTTGGGCCTCAAATCCTGTGATGGCAACCAGGAACTGCTGAACTACCTCCGAAGTGATCTCATTGAGGTTGCAACTCGGCTGCAGAAAGGAGGGTTGGGATACGTTGATGTGACACCAGAATTTGAAGCAAGAGTGAGTGGAAAGTCAAAGTAGTGCTAAGAAAGACAGACCCGTTGACACTGACTCTAAGGTCTTGACTCTTTGGGTCGGGAAAATCAGATTTGTTGCATATGCATTCTTTGTTAACTAGTATTTCAAGACTACACAACTGCTAACTTGAGGCTGATTTGGTGTAGGGGAGCTGTAGCTTTGAGGGTAAATGTCCTGCACAACTGTGCAGCTGTCCTGTTTTCTTCAGCTGTTGGAGGAGCTTCTTTATGGAACTTCAGTGGAGCTCTTTTTGGCTCCTTTTTAGCTTCTGTGTCAGAGCCAGAATGTATTGTTGAGACAGCAGTTTTCTTTTTTTTGGTGATTTTTCATAAATTCAGATCACATTAGACTTGGAGTAATGTTTGTGCCCCACATCTAGGAGCTAAAGGTCGTTCTGTTCAGGGGTGTATCTGCTCAGTGAGCTGAATATGGCAGTGTTCTGGCTAGTTCAGCCTTGCTCACGTGAGAATTTCTGGTGCACTGTACCTCCTTAGGAGTTGATAAGCTTACCTGATATGGGTAGAGTACACACGCTTGAGACTGGTGCGTGCACCTACCAAAGGATGACGTTGTCTTGGAATGCTTAGTAACCTGTTAAACTGCATCCTCAGTCAGAACAGAGACCTCTCTGTGCAGATGCAATCGTAAGTGTTAAGAGAGTGATGGGAAACATCAAATGGAAGAACTTTTTCTTTTCTGCCCTGAAGCATCTTGCTTTTTTTTCCTTTTTTGAACCAACATAAGCATTCATGTGCTATGCATGCTCATCAGCTACGTGTGAGCTCCAGCAGAAGCAGCAGCAACATGCTGATCCCATAACCGAGTGTGGGACTTGGTGCACGGTAACACTGCATTAAGTATCACAGATATCCATTGCCAGGACAGAACCTCCCTAAACAGTGCAAAGAGTGATGTCCAACTGATGTGATTGTGTACTCTTCCTAACAGGTATACTCACTGGAGAGCCTAAAGGATTTTGGAGAGTGTGTGATTGCACTCCAAGCTGGTGTTATTAAGAAGTTTCTGCAAGGTTTCATGGCCCCTAAGCAGAAGAGAAGGAAACATCAAGGAGAGGACTACATTGCCAAGGCTGAGGAGGTAGATGAAGAAAAGAAAATGGCAGAAGAAGCTAAGGTATTGTTCACCTCAGAGCTCTTTTTAGTCCTGTACTGCCTTTGAACCCCGAGTTACATTAAATTTCATCTGGCAGTAAATCCTGTGCAGTTTCTCCCTATTGCAAGTTTAGGGTGCAGTGAGTTTGTTGTTTATGGGTCCAGATGTTCCCTGGTTACTCTGAAGTGTAAAGGTTTAGCTGAGTAAAAGTCCTTCTGTATAGCTGCAGTTGCAGTATTCTCTCTGTAGACAGGAAAAGAGTCAAGTTGGGTATCTGACTTCCTTTGCAAAATTCCTCACCTGTGTATAAAAACACATGAATAAAAATGCATTACACAGCATTTCAGGGAACTTGTTGAGTTGTATCCATCAGAGAGAACAGGTGGGGTCTTACTGCCTTCAACCCACAAAGAAAAAGAGAGCCTTGCTGAGGTTCTGGTGAGTATAAGGCAGCGAGGTTCAGGTAAATATCAGAGTTATGCATATTATTCAGGAAGATGGAAGACTTGTTATGGATAGAAATGCCCACAGCAACGCAGGCTGGGCTACACACAGCTTGCCTGGAAAACCAGGTGGAAGAGCTGGGTGAGTCTACAGGTGTAGCCTCCCAAAAGGCATGGAGGGAAGCTGCAGGGGATTTGGTAGATTCTTCAGGCAGTTGCCCTGAACCAGCATTTCATACTGTGAGGATGTTGGTTGTTTTCCTGAGCCGAATGGGACATTGGTGACATGGGATTTTTTTTCTCTTTTTCCTCTCCCTTCAAAATGAAATGATTTGCCCTGATTGGTCACTGTCTTCGGTAGAAGTGGCAAGACCAGCATTGGAGCAGCAGGTGCATTTGACATTTCCAGACTAGAAAAGTAATAGATGTTCAACTCATTATGTTTGTGTTTTTGTTTTTGTTTTGAAACCTCTTATCAGCGTGTGCTGAGCCCTTGGGTCTTTGTTATGCGTGGCATTGCCATGTTAAGAGGATGTTTGGGTAGTCACTAGAAATTTTTCAGTCTTCAGTGTGCTGAAGTATCTAAATTTTGTTAGCTTTGTTGAATCTTCCAGTGTGCAGTGGGAATGGAAAGCTCCTTTTTTCTCAAAGCTCTCAGCAGAATGTAGCTGTAGAAATCAGTTTCTCTGGGACAGAAAGGACGTGGATCACGGCGTTTCGCATATCTTCAGCAGCACCACGTTGTGCTGTCATGTTTTAAAGCTGTAGTTGGAAGTCACTCCTGCAGGGTGTGTATCCAGAGCAAACAAAGACTTACTGCAATATCTAAACTGATGTAGCAGTGAGTTCTGTATTGGAGCCCCAGCCACTTCCCTGCTCACGCTACAGCTATGTTAGACATGAAACCCAAGCTCTTAGTTGCCTGAAAAGTGAGTCATTTTGATCCTGATTAGTTTTGGCACTCTACCCATAGAGCTTTGCTCCCTTGATGACATGGCGAGGCCAGGCTTCCGTAGCATTGCTTCACCCTCACAGTTGCAGTTTTCAACTACATCAGCTCAGTTAGAAGATGTGCCTAGTATGGCTGAAACATCCTGGTTAGCACTTTCGTCCTCCGGAAACCAGCTGGAACAGCAGTACTTCTGAATACTGCAGGATTTAAATTCAAAATGGCAATTTTTGCAGTATTGCCCAGTTTCTCCAACGTGGCTGCATACCTCATTACACAGCTCGGCCCTGTAGTGCCACGAGCACAGGTGTCCTTATCGTCACCCTGGGCAGGTGGCGCTGCAGGTCTCCCTCTGGTGCTCTGGTTTTGGTGTCTCTGGAGCAGTAATGCAGTGCAGTGCCCTCTTTAGCTTAGCTGCTCATGGTCATACAGTGAATATTGAACAATTTGGATTTATTTTTGTGTTCTTACATAGACTTTGAAAAGCAGATCTCAAGCTGGAGTCTTTAGAGGCGTAGCTGCACTGAGAGTACATATCAGGGAAAATACAATGTAGCTGAACTGGAAAAACACACTTGGTGTGCTTGGAAGCTACAGCAGAGAAATTGTGGCCCATTCTGCCTCGTCTTCCCTGTGAGAAGCAAGTTGGGGCTCAATAAGGTATCCATCTGCTGGCATAACTGTCTGCACCAAAGGCTCCTCCTGGCTCAGCTCCCCAGTTAGAGAGGCACTACTGAGTGGTAGAAGAGGGCAGTGCAGACCTGGCTTGTGACTGCTTCTGAAAAACTGTATTTTGCCTGTGTGTTTACACCTGTGTTCCCACGTGGGGAGGCAGTAGCACTGGAGCTGTGCCAGCATAGGCAGTGCATCAGCTGTGGGCCCTTTGCAGCAGTGGTGCAGCACAGCTGTCTGAGCACAGGTCGGCTGCCCGCCCCTGTGCTTGCTGCTCCGGGTGGCTGTGAGGGGCTGGGTGGGGAGCAGCTCTCACTGGAGTACCCCGATGAGGGCAGACAGCATCCCAGAGTCACAGTCAGAGAGTTATGGTTGCAGAGATGTTTATGGTGGAAAGGCATTTCTGTCATCTTAGGATACCAGACAAGAGTTTCTTAGGTGCAGGTTTGTCATCTTTCCCAAAGCAGGAATTTTCTGTTACTCTGCAGTTGAAACGTGACTGAGGCTGCCTCTGGCAGTGTATCTGTGGGGCTTTTTTTTTTTTCCCTGCTAGAATGCTCCCTTCCCAGTGGGAGGGTACTTGACTTCCTTCAGTCTCTGTTTTTGCCTAGTTGGCAATTGGAACTCCCCTGATAATGGTCCTGCTAAAATGCCACAGTCTCATGATGCTTGGGAAGCAAGGCTAAAAATCTGTGAAATTCCACAGGCTTGGAGAGAAAAATCTAAGCATAACGTGCCAGCAGCTTTTGTAGATTTATCTTGGCCCAGCAGTTACCCAGTATGTTAACAGCAAAACCCATGGAACAGTTACTTGGAAAATCAATTACACAGTATGTGAAGCACCTCAACAATGTTCTGCAGAGAAGTAGCACGATGCTGTGTAATCTACCACAGTAGGCAATGCAGGTTTCCATTTGTCCTGAATGTCTTGGGCTCCAGGTTGTATGCTAGCAATGGCAACGGGGATGTTGGCTTACTAGAACGGTTTGTGTGTTTTTCCAAGCATCTGATACACACTGTGCTTCTTCAAATGCAGTGGGAGGAGAATGTGCAACTCTGCAAAAGAAAAAAAAATCTGGGTTTTGTTTGGCTCCCAAATTGCTGTCAGCTGCAGAGTTCAGTTTTTCCCATCTGACACTTCACTGTTTGTTTTTCATTCTCCTTGGATAGAAGACTAACTTGAGTTCTATTATGTCCCTGTCGTGTCTAGGCCATCACCTCATTGTTGTAAAGCAGAGGATTAATGATAGAGTTGGATGTGCAGTGGCTCTGGATTACTCCTCTGTTCTGGTGCATTTCCGATCTGCAGTAGTATGTTTTTTCAGAACCCCCTGGAGCTGAGTTGGAGGTTTCACATGCAGCTTACTGTGTGCAGACAGCACAAATCTCAGGCTCTCATCCTCACTTGCAGCTCATTCTGGGATCTCACACGTGCTGAGGTCATTCCATCTCAGGAGAGGGGCAGGTTTCATATCTGGGGCTGTCACATCTGATCACAGTTGATGTCACAGTCCTTTGGTAAGGAGGACGAGTGGCAGCTGCTGCTGATGGGCCCGAGCCTCCCTGCGGTATCCACTGGAGGGCAGCACAGGCTGCTCCAATTCCCCGCACTCGAGTGATGCTGCCAGCTGCCTCCTGACTTTCATCCCACATTTTGCAGTGCTAGATTTCTACTTTTTATTTTCTTAGCCTGCCGATTATTTGGGTTAGACGTTCAGAGTAAGAATCTAGAGGAGTTCACGTTGGTTGTTCCAGCCTGGCCATAAAATGTAGCAGGACTTTGAACTGTCTGATCCAGCGAGGCTGGTTATGGATAAACCACAAGTAGGGCCGCAGTGGCTATGTAGAAGGAAAGAAATACAAAGCTGGGTTTTGATTATTAAGGGCCCCGGCTAAAGGGTATAAAAACATCTTCAGACTGTAGCAAGCTGAGTCTGTGTGCTTTGTTGTAAGTTGTTAGGTCTGTCTGCAGGTTGCTTCAGCCATGGAGAAGTGGAAGACGGCAATCCGTGAGGCCCAGACCTTCTCCCGTATGCACGTGCTGCTCGGGATGCTGGATGCCTGTATCAAGTGGGATATGTCAGCAGAGAACGCCCGGTGCAAAGTGTGTCGCAAGAAAGGTACGCGCTCCTGCCCGCGCTGCCTGACAGCCGCACGCTGTCACCTCTCCGTGCCCTGCTTAGGCAGCGTGCCCCTCTTGCTGTCACTGCCTTTGGCTGTATTTTGAGTTCTGACCGTCAGGATTTACGCGCTCAGAAGCATTGATCTCACGGAAGCGTTTGACCCTGACTCCAATAAACCATTCTGATGAAACTGGTGCAGAGTGTTGCAGAACGCTGCAGTGCTGCTGTCCCCTGGATATTCGGGGTACTTGGACACAGATTGTCTGCAGATCCTTCTGCAGGAGCATTTGTGCCGCTGTCTCAGTTTCATTTATGAGCTGGAATGGTCTGTGGGTCTCTGAGCCTTGTCAGTTGTTCCCATCTCCTGCAGAAGGAACAAGCAAGAAGAGGCTGGGAAGGTTAATGCACCCTGTAACTGAATAGGAGAGAGCAGTGGGATGATGCTAGTTTGGGGCTAGAGTGGGAGTGGAACTGCCTGCTGAGCTGGAAGAAGCAAGCTCTTTGTTTCTTTTGTGAGAGCAGAGAAATGAAGCTGTTTGCCTTTAGTCACTGCTCTGGTAAGGCTGGGGAGTACCCAAATAGGTGACAGGAGGGACTGTATGAAGGAGGGCTTGAGAATCCTGCAGGTGGAAGGGGAAATTAGACAGTGTTACCAATCATTGAGTACTAGCAGAGTAAAAATTGTTCTGCCATAACCTCTCCTTTTGGATGGAAGCCTGGAGGAGAGAGCTTGGTAGCACATTCTGCCACATCATGTGCTTTTTGTCTCCTTTTCTATTTGTTGAAACACTAGTGGGAAATGAGGGCAGACAGATCTGAGGGAAAACGGAGCTGCTTTTGCTTACCAAAAGGCTGTGTTGTCCACTTCTGTAAAGAAATGAGCTGAACCGGTGCAACATCCTCCACTGTGGAGCCTCCAAACTAATATGTAAACGTTAAAAATATATAAATTGTAGGCAGATGTAGGAGAGGGATCACCTGAGACTAACAGATTATGGTTTAACAGAACTCAAGAACTGGGATGCTAGGGACATGCTGGCAAGCTCTCCACACTTCTTTTCAGTAAATGAAGTAGCTGGCTCAGGACTACGTCTGTGTTATCTGTCATCACTGAGAAGCATGGAGAGACTAGTTCTGCTGCATGCCCTTTTTTTTCCTATGGGCTTGCTACCTTAAGTAGAAAGAAAAACACTGTGCCTCACGTTGAGGCTAGAATTGCTATGGTTATGTTCCTAGCCTCTTACTAGGCTCATGGGCATGCTAGGCTCTCTGCAGCATGCTTCTTTCCTCCTGGTCAGTTTGGCATCTACTCTGGGTGAAATGTATTTGGCGGCTTTCTACCCTTGTCTCAAATGAAATCTTTGCAGAGCAATGGACTTTGCTTTGTCTTTTCTTCAAATACTGCTTGTTTCCACTGCAGTGGAAACTGAGAAGGAAGGGTGCCCACTATCAGAGGGCACTTTGCATCTTCCTCTCACTGTATTCTGACCTCCAGCCACGTGGCAGCTTCTGCGTCGCGGGTTGTGCAGGGCTGTGGTGCTCAGTTACAAGTAGGTTGCGCTCTCCTAGGTGAGGATGACAAGCTGATCCTGTGTGACGAGTGCAACAAAGCCTTCCACCTGTTCTGCCTGAGACCAGCACTCTATGAGATACCAGATGGAGAATGGCAGTGCCCAGCTTGTCAGCCCTCCACTGCCAGGCGCAGCTCCCGGGGCAGGTGAGTGGCACTCCTTTCCTTTGAGTTGTCACTGGTGCAGATTTTTAGCTATGTTTTCACAAGAGGATCAAAACAGCCTTAAACAAAGACCCTTGGAAAGGACCGAAATAGCCAGGTTGACTCAGTGTCTCTGAGTTTCTTTAAGTTCAGCACACTTGTGTGGTGACCCATGACATATAATAAATAGTTTCAGTGTGGCAGTGAAAACGTACACAAAGCATCAACCAAAATTTATGCACTAGGGACTGTCTTGTTCACCTGAGCAACTAGTTGGGTTCCTTTTTCATGGGATTGTAGTGGGTAGCACTGCAACTCTAATGCCCTGGGCTAAGTTATTCTTGTGGCCTCATCTAATTAAAGCAGACACTACTCCAGGCTGCAGCTCAGCCCGTGTGCTACTAAAAATCAGATAATGAAATGCCACCTTGGCACTTCTTTTGGCCTGATGAACATCGGCACTTTTGTGAGGTAGGATCCATTATAGATTGTGGAGATGATATGATCTGGGGAGGAATCGAAGTTGTTGTGTGCAGCAGAATTGAGTAGCTGTTTCCTGACAGCAAGGGGCTGAATTAATTTGTGAATTGCTGTAGGCTGGAAGTTAAATGTATGCAAAATGTATTTTTCTGCCTATATTGTAAGCTAATTGCAGTGCTGCATCTCCCTGCTTGTCAGCAAGGTGAGGCTATCAAATAGCACCTGATGCATAAGCAGTCAACAGATCCTTTCATCCAGAGTGGCAGCACAATAGGAGGCGTGCAAACTTGTAGTGTACAGGTGGTGCACAGCCTTAAAAGTATTACTTAACTCCCTGGGCACCATTTAAGGATTCATCAGGCTTGTTCCAGAATGACAGGGCTTTAATGCAGCTGTTCTAGCTTGCAATTGTAGTTGCTTTGATGTGGTGGAGTCACCTGCAAGCTGCTTGGCTGCTGGATGAGAGCCATCAGGTGGGGTAACACCTGTCTTGTTACCTGCTTTCTGCTCTTGTCTTCCTAGCTCAGGCAGGGGAAAAAATGCTGGCCTGCAAAGACTTATGCCCTGCTCTACAGTGGGAGCTAATTCTTACTCCACTTACTGCTCAAGCTCCCTTGTCTCCAGAGGACCGAGACTCCCACAATAGCTTTGTCTTTGTCCCCATCTGCCTATGTGTGCTGCTTTGTTTTCCTGTGTTTATTATGGTTAGAATGCTTTAACAGACACATGCAGAAAGTTAGAACTGTCCTGGGCAGGGTCTTTGTGGCTTTGATGCCAGCATGTAAGAAGTCTGAACTGATGATTTGCTCAGTAATACGTCAAGTTTAGCTGTGAATAACACTAAACAAGGTCTGTTTCCTGTAGTGACAGGGGAAAGCAGTAAGGGGGAAATACTCCAGCAGGAGCCGAAGGGGAAAAAAACAGCCCAAAGTAAAACCATTGTGAAACTCCTCAAGCGAGGCTTGCAAACCAGGGTGAAACAGCAGCACTTGTTCACAGAGAGGAGAATTGTGCAGCAGTCTCAATGTCAAAATCTATTATCACATGGTTATCTAGAACAGGAGTGGGGAAAAAGGGAGAAAAGTCACAGATTCAGCTGTTGGGGTGTTCCAGCTGTAGTCCGAGAAGTGTTCTTTTAGCTGTAGCTACAACTTGGTCCTCTGGAAATACACTGGATCACTTCAGTTTGAGTCGGGATGTTTATTTTACACACTGAGGTGGTCAAGTCTGTGTGTGAGCAAACAGTACGGGGGGCCCCAGGGCTCCTCATTCCCAGGTCCTGGTACAACACATGTGTTTACCTGCCGTGCTCTAGGAACTACACAGAGGATTCTGCTGAAGATGAAGGTGAAGAAGGTGAGGAAGCTTCTGATGAGCAAGATGCTGAGGAAGAAGAAGAGGAAGAAGAAGATTATGAAGTCGCTGGATTGAAACGTAAGGCTTTGACCATGCAGGAAATTAACAGAGAATATTAAGACTATGCCTTCAGTGTTCAAAGAATTGATCCAATTTTAGACTTGTGCTTTTACATGAAACAGGTTCTTGCGAGGAAATAGGGAATTGCACAAGGGAAGTCTGTGACTGTGTTTTCCCTGGGGAGCTGGAGTGAACTCCCTTCCCTCTGTGACAAAGATAGCGCTTCTGTGAACTGTTGTTCTCCTGGGAACACTGCAGACACCCGTTCAGCATCAGCAGAAGCTGCAGCAGGGAAGGTCTAGGGAACAGCATTACCTGTAACTGTTACTGGCAGTCTGTGCCTGCAGTGTGTCTTGGAAAACTGGAGCTTTGGCCACAACACTGCTGCTCTTGCTTTTTCCCTTCCTAGCACAACCTCGTAGCACCTTACATGCAGGATTTCTAGTGGAAAGGGGCCATTTTTAAGTAGTCAGACCAGGACCTCATCTGTTGGTTCCCGTGAGAAGGCACAGTAGTCAAAGTGCAGCAGGGCCTGGGCAGCCAGCACCTGTTGGTTGCATAGAGACCACTCAGGATACACAGCTGACTCACTCCTGAGCGGAGTGAAATAACATTTTCTAGACTCATCAGTGACTACTTGCCTACCCCAGCGTGCAGTGCAATTTCTGGTATGCATGTTGACTTTGTTTTTAAGGGAGTTTGACTCTGTCTTGTTTGGGCAACTTGGTGCAATGAGCAGCTCAGTCTCAGAACAGCACACAGCCAGCTTTTGCTTTCTGTCAAAATGTCCTTGACTGACATAAAATTAGCTTCAGCCTGTCCTAACCAGGGCAGATGGTGAAATTCAGAGACCAGGACCCCAAGGATTATCCTGTATTCTTTCAGGGGTTTCCATCCGGGTCTATCAGTCTCGATTCGCCTGCTTTATTCTGGTTTCAGGGGTGTTCACTGATACCCTGGCTATGCGTGCTGCTTGTTGTTCTGTGGTGTATCCATGTCCACACTTGGAGTATGTTCAGCCGATGTTGCGCAGCCAAGTCAGGAGCAAAGCCAAGGTTTCCAAACAATAGCATAAGGGTTACAGTCACTAAAAATAAAGCACTAAATGCAACCCCGTGGTTTTAAAGAGCATTAACGTGGAAAGGTCACTGTGGAAAACTTTTGTTTTAATAGAGAAGTCCCATTAATCCTCATGGCGTTTATCCTGAGGGATATAACCTAGAATGTTGGATTGTCAGACATCTAACACATGCCTCACGCTTGACACACAAGCAGGAGTGACAGCAGGCAGGCGGCCCGCTGCCCTGACACACGCTGCTCCCGCAGGGGGGCTGGGAGGGATGATTTATTGGGCAGGGCTGGATTAGAGGCTGCAGATGGAGCACTGCAGCACGCTGGATGCAGCTTGCTCAGACCCTTCTGACCAGATGGAAGGAGCTTGGCTGGGGAGGAAGACCTACACGTTCCCTTGGTACAGAGAGAAACTTAAGGCGAGGGCCTTCAACGCCGTGCTTGTCTCCATGGGCGCAGCGCTCTGACAGGCAGACTCGCACACAGAGCGCTTCTGTGGGACGCAACGCAGCAGCTCCTGTCTTGGGGAATAAAATCCCATTGTTTCCCACTCGCAGCTCCCCGCTGCAGTAACACGACACTCCCTCTGCACGCAGTTCGCTTTTCAGGGGGGCTTAGCAACTGGCTTACCCTCTGTGTGGGCCACTTGTAAGCGCTTGGCAGAGCACCCTGAGGGGCAGTGGGAACCTGCACCCGATGCTTTCTGAAAGGATGTTGCATTCACGTTTAAAACACATGTCTGTCCCTCACCATCCTTCAAGTCTGGATACAGCAGGGTTTCGGCGCTTCATTCTGCAGGTCTTTACTGCAACGCTCAGACAGAAAGCAAAGCTTTGGGGCAGAGCAGCTGAAAGCCTCCAGATGTCCTGCAGAAGCTGGTGTCTGCTGGAAGCTGGCATGCATGACCACCCTTAGAAAGCTGCTGCCAGACAGCAGTGGCCTTTTTTTGGATGTGGGCTGTTACCAGCATAGCTCATCTGGAGAGGGTATAGAGCACAGCTGACAGGGGCGTGTGCTGAGTGAGCATGGTGACAGAAAGCCGGGTCACCGCCATCATCCCTGCGTTCGCTGTGCTGTGAGTGAGGCTGCCTGGCGCTGCCACTGTGCAAAGGGCTTGTGATCTCTGCTTCCAGGTTAACCCATTCCTCTAAGCCACTGGCTTATGTGTTTCAGTGAGACCCAGAAAGGCCGCCCGCGGCAAGCAGAGCACAGCCATGTACTCCTCGAGGCAGGGAAGGCACCAAAGGAAGAAGCAGTCGCTGCACCCTGCCAGGGGACCCCGGCAGCGGGCTGCACCTGTCAACAGCGCAGACATTGATGAGCTGGTAAGAGCCAAATTGTTCCCCGGGGGCTGCTCACATCATGAGTTATAAACGAAACAGGTGTCACGCTTCCTCCCCTCCCCTTCCCAAAGAAATGCCCTGAATTGTACTGTGAAACCTGTGCTGGGCTGCGGGTGGGTTAACAAAGGAGGCATATCCTTAAGGGCCCGGTGCACACGGAGCAGAGATATGCCAGGCATCTTTCCCCAGCCGCTTTCACACATTGTCCCCCTTGATTAGCAGGCAGCCTGCAGCTTGTTAAAGGGTTTTAAATAGCATCCATATGTCTCTGCAGAGAGGTGGGGGGATCGAGGAGGTCCTGGATGGTCAGAGAATGCCAGCAATGTAGGACCCTCACTCCCTAGCCTTGGCCATTTTCTGACAGTTGTTGTGCGTATGGTCACTCTCCAACCTCCAGGACATAATTCAGCTGGCTTAGGTTTCACTTGACATTTAAAGAATAAAACCTTCTGTTCCTGAACAGAGCAATCTTGTGCGTGCGTGCTGTGCTGGTTGTCCTGGGGAGGGCCACACTGCAGCACATACGTGAGGATACCAGAGCTGCACGGGCCGTGTCACAGCTCCTGCTCCATCTGCCATCTGTCTGCTGAGCAGCAGTGGTGGTGCTGCCTGTGTACCCTGCCACTCTTCTTGAGTGGTTCGATCATGTCTTCAAGCTTCTTGTGCTGATCGTGAGTGGGCTGGCTGCCGGATCTGCAGCATCCTTCAGTCTGGTCCATGTTACAGAGTGGAGGGCAACCAAACCAGCAAGCTCATCACCGGCTCCCCCCATGAGCATAGTGAGCACAGTGAAATACTCAGGTGGGGAAAAATGTTAGGGAGCAGCTGGTCAGGAGCTCTGAAAAACTGCCCAGGGCTCTTCCATGAACTGTTTGTCCTGTGAAGAGATGAAAGCTGTTCAGGAACGTCTCCACGTGTTTTGGAGCCTTCCCATCACAGACATACCTCAAGCAGTGCGATGCCTTGTGAGCCGTGTGGCAGAGCCGAGGAGATCTCCCTGTGCTGACCTACAGCTCTGCAGGCAAACGACTGACCTTGTGTCACTCCTGTGTACAGGACAGCAATCCGGAGGCATCAGCTGCTCTCTGGTATTTAACATGGCAGAGTAGGCTCAACGATGGGCAACAGTACAGTAACAGTACAGCAACACAAGTGCTGTCCCCCTCTGCCTCTCACATGCTGTCCGCCAGGGGCTCATAGAGGGAATTTACACTCTGCATTTGCTGTCTGTATTCTTTGGCTGCTTGCTTTGACCATGTTGTCTTTGAACCTATCTTGAAAAAGCTTGCTGCCCCCAGTGAGAAGAGAGGCTGCTTGTGATCTATTCCCATCAGAGCTTCTGTATGGGGCTCCCATTTTGTAACTCAGGCCCCCACCACATGTCTTGGCTGTTACTATCAAAGGTCCCACAGCAGAGCACTTTCGATTATTGTGGAAGATGGCTACATTTGAAAGACCAGAAGTTTTTTCCTGCAGTACTTCTGTATATTCCCACACCATGAAGCGCTGGCTTGTGAGCGAAAGGATTGAAAAGAAAAGCTCTGCTAGGAACTAGCTGTTTCACCCTAGATATTGTTTGCTGAACGCTGAAGCTCATGGTGGTTCCCCTCCTTTTAACAGCATCCCTCCTTTGTGTGGGCAGGTCCTTCAAACAAGGAAGACGGCGCGTCGCCAGAGCCTCGAGCTGCAGAAGTGTGAGGAAATCCTCAGCAAGCTGATCAAGTACCGCTTCAGCTGGCCCTTCAGGTGAGGGGAGGTGGCCTCCTGCGTGCACACAGGACTGTGGCGCGCCATGCTGTGGTCCTGCTGGATCCACTGGCTGGTTGTGAATTGTGCATCCTGTGTTAGGTGTAGCAAGTGACACCTGGGGAGAAGTGCTCCATTAGAAGTTGCTCCAATAGAAATCACCGTGGTCTCAGTTCTCTGCTGGACTGGAGACCTGGGGTTCCTCTGGTGCAGGATAGCAATGCGATCGGTTGTGGGACAAGGGCAGGAGGCTGGGATCGGTTTTCAGCAGCCCCCGGGTTTGTGGGCAGTGGTGCACAGAGCCGTCGAGCCGCGCGCCGCTCCCTGCACCGCCCTCCTTCCTGTTACCAGTGCTGCGCCCGCTGCAGGGCTGACCTGTCTGCTGCTCTCGAGGCGTGTGGTTTGCGATGGCGCTGTGGTGGGGTGTGCTGGGGCTGCTGCTCACGCTTGGCAGCTCTGCACTGTGCAGGGCCAGAGCTGCTCATTTCCTTCCTCTTTGTGGCTCTTCATTCATCAGGGAGCCAGTGACCACAGAAGACGCCGAAGATTGCTGTGAGGTCATCAGCAACCCCATGGACTTCCAGACTATGCAGAGCAAGTGCTCTTGTGGCAATTACCGCTCAGTGCAGGAGTTCCTCTCTGACATGAAGCAGGTGTTCTCCAACGCCGAGCGCTACAACCAGAACGGGAGTCACGTACTGTCCTGCCTGGAGAAGACGGAACAGTGTTTGATCGACATGGTGCACAAGCACCTGCCTGGCCACACCTACGCACGCAGAAAACGCAAGAAGCTCTCTGCTGGTTGCCAGGGACTGGAGGAGCAGGAAGGGGACAGTGAGTCCGAGCCCCTTGAGCATTCCCGGGGGCGGAGAAGGAAGAAGTGAGGGATGGCGGGGAGGGGGGGGGGACCCGGGGGAGAGCCAGAGCTGGAGCAGGCCTTCTGGTGCTGCTGGGCAGCAGGATGGGTTGTCTGGAGGGAGTAAAGAAGCAGCAGGGCACTTTGCTATTAATCCAGCCTTTCCTTTGGCCCATCTTAACTTTAATTTTTCTGCAGTTTCCTCAAATGTTTTGTCATCCGTTGAGCGAGTGGAGATGACTTAACTGCTTCCTGCAAATTACACAGAGATGATACGTGTCTGTCCTTCCAGGAGGGGAAGGCGGGAGGGCGAAGGAAAGGCCTGGCCAAAGCCTGACTGGGCAGGGGAGCACGAAGCCTACTCCAGCTCCAGCCCTGCCGCTGCCTCGGGCTCTGCTGCCTGCACTGTGAGATCGGCCCCGAGCTGTGCAGGGAGGGATTGTGTTGCTCCACGGACAGAGTGGGTGCGACCAGGCCAACGGGCTGCTAGTTCTTGTATGTATATATTTATATGGTGTTAATTTTGAGCCCCTGCTGCAGGGCCGCGTAGCGAGCAAGCACTTACTTTTATGGAGACACAGCTTTCACCAGCATCCTAACACAATTGGCTTCGAGGTGCTCTCGCTTTTCCCCCCTCTCTTCTCGGGGAGCGATCTCTGGAGTTGTTGTGCTCCAGAGGGGTCTTCCGAGCTCAGCTCTGTGCCGAGGTGGCAGAGTAGGCAGCAGGTTTCCCTGCTCACCTTGACCAGCACGCAGTCGTAGCCCTTTGGATGAACCGAGTGCCAGAAGCATACGGGAGAGCATGGTTTTCTGCACGCCCCTGGGGAGCTCAAGGGCAAGGGGAGCAGCAGAAACATGTTACGTTTAACTTTTTAAATTAATTTTCTAGTAATTGAAAGTGGCTTGTTTCTAGCTGTGATCTTGTATAAAGAACACCTGTAAGATACCGTTGTCTTGCTTTGGCACATGTACAGTTTATATCAAATGGTGTTTGCTGTATATTTTCCCCCTCTGAAAACTCATTTTCCTATCAGTAGCTGGGGTCGCACCGGGGCACTCGTGAGGGTCCCCAGTCCCTCTCCAGCCGTGCTCTCATCTCCTGCAGTCACACCTCCCTTAGCTCACCTCCCTCGCGCCCTCGGTGCCTCAGGCTGCCCCTCGCTGGCCGTGTCCCAGCAGTGGGTTCTGCCATTCGGCACACCGGCTTTTCTCTAAGAAAAGAGTGTTCTTTAATCACCTTTCCATCATGACAGATTTTGATCATACAATCAGGGCTTGAACTTTTTATTATGGAGTTCTGCAGTTTGGAACAAACTAGCTACAGGGCTGCTCTGTCCCGGCTTTGTGACACGGAAAAACGGAAGCAGCAGTTGCAGCTCCTGTGATTTGAGAATAAAAGGATCCTCGGTGACAAGTTGCAGCCTAGTTTTGTGGAGTTTTTGGTTTGTTGTTTTGTTAACAGGTATTTGTTTCAGTTCTGACTGCTGAAGGCTGCAGCCACAAGACACATTTCCAGCCACCTCCCCCCACCCCAGCCTCAGCTCCTGCCCCACGGAGTAGCACTGACGTTTGTATCTCGCACGTCCCCATCAGAGGCCATGTTTTGTCCTGTTAATAGAGAACATTTTCTGCAGGTCCTACACAGTGAAACCTTTGGAACCGTACGTTTTTTAAAAATAAATGTCATTTGTGGGGGGAGGGGGGTTTCTCCTAAGGGCTGTACTTGTAATAAGTTGGAAAATGAAAAATAAACATTATGTACTTGTGTTTGTAAAGCCGGCTCGCAGCTCGTCCTTTGTGGTATCCTCTGCTCCTGCAGCACGGCGGCCTCGCGCCTGCTGGAGCTCCCACCAAGAGGCCCAGAGGAGCACTGAGCTGCATCAGGCCAGCTCACAGCTCTGCACTTCTGGGCCAAACGCTGCTCAGGTTGGGTGGCAGCGGCCCCTGGCCGTGCCTCTGCTCCAGGCGGTGGAAATGGCTGGGGCCACGTTCACACAAAGCTGGTGCAAAGCTGCGCTGACAGCAGGTTAATGTGCAGCATGGAGCTGTGTGCCCTGCGCTGGCATTTTGCAACCATGGCTGTCTTTGCTGCAGTCCTGAGATGGCCAAGGCCTGTTCTGTGTGTCTGACCAAACAGCCATCAGATCCCTTACCAGCAGGGCTGGGATGCTGCTCTGCTGAGCTTCAGAAGCAGGGGAAGGAGCTGGTGCTGATGTACGCCCAGCAGCTCTCAAGTGAGGGTGTTCGCCAGAGTTTTCCTGCACTTGTCCCAGTGCCACAGGAACAAGAGGGCGGTGCTTTCCTGGGTAGCGCTGTCACGCTGCGGCACCGAGCGCAGCCCCCCGAGCTGCGGTGGGGTCTGGCAGTTGGGCAGAGGAGGCTGAGGAGCCCCGCTGGGTCTGGGGGCTTCAACATTACAGGCAGCGGATAAACGTTTGCGCAGAGAAACCTCTCGGCCGTGCCGCAAGCAGGGGTTCACTGCCGGGTGTGCAGCAGGACCCGGGCAAACCGGAGCGTGATCCAGGCTGGGATGCTTCCAGGCCTCAGCGTGGAGTCCTCACACCAGCATCTGCCGCGAGACCTTTTCCAAGCCCTGCTTTTTATAGCAGCCCTGCATGGCATTACCGCCCCGTGAGACCCTATTAATAGCCGTCACTCGGCCAGTGGGCGGCCGTGGCACCCGCTGCACCCACTGCAACGCCGGGCCGGGCCTGGGACCCAACAGGGCTGAGCCACGGCGGCCAGCGGGACCGCACCGAGCTCCTGGGGCTGCGGAGGAGCCGCCCGGGCCGCCAGGGCTGATAGCGGGCGGTGGACAGGCGCTGGTCAGGCGCCGGCGGCCCCATGCTGCTGATAGTTGGGGCCCGGCGGGACGAGCTTATCTGGGCGAGCGCCTGAGAGGCAGCGAGGCTTGGCAAGAGGCAGGGTGCTCAAGGGCGGGCTGTCCCAACAGGCTCCGAGAGCCACGCAGGAGCTGGACGACCGCAGGGATGCAAGCAGGACACAGAGCTGCCCCCAGCCATCACTGCCGTGTGTCTGTGCTCGGGCCCACGGTGCAGCGCAATCTGGGGCTCAGTGTAGCTCAGGGCTCAGCCCCAAAGAGGCTTCGAGTGCGGAGTGCCGGGGCCTGGGTCACCGGCCCTGGCCCAGGTGAGCGGCTCCTGCCCAGCCCGCCTTGCACTGGACTTTGGAGTCTATCCCTGAGCCAATATTGACTCTCCCAACCCCGGTCTCGGCCCCGTTATCTGCCCACACTGCCCCTCCATGGCAGCTGAGAGGCCGCAACCCCTTGGCCCAAAAACTGGGCACCAGGCAGAGATCCCTGCCCAGGGATGGGGCTGACCACTGGAGTGCCCAGTACCATCGCATGGTGCCCCCGCAGCGACTCACTGGGCACCAACGGCCACAGAGCTCCTGCACAGCGCTGCACGCCCACTGCTGCCCCTCCATGTTGCCTTCTGCTCCGCTCTGTGCGCTGCCGCCAGCGCTGCTCCCGGGGGAGCAGAGGGTTTCTCAGATCCATCGCTCAACTTCTCCCCACGTCCCAACACCCCCAGGGGCGGTGGAGAGCGGATTAAAGGCGCTTCCCAACATCAATCGCAGTGGCAATGTGCACACAAAGCCTCGCTCAGCGCTGCGGTGCAGCACTGAAGGGCTGCGTCCCATCCTGGCTGTGGGCTGGGCTGGGCTCACAGCCCAACTGTGGGCCTCCACTGTTGCCCCTTTGTGGCCGCGTGATGCTGCAGTGCCCCCAGCACAGCCTGTGCGACTTCTCCTGCTGGGCACCAACAAGCTGGGAGCGACCTGGGCAGCACGGGGTGCTCGGTGCGGACGCTCACCTTGGCGCCGGCCGCTGGCAGCAGCTGGGGCTGGGGGCACACAGAGGACACGGCCCCTACAGGACACACCTTGAGCCTGCAGCTCTTACTGGGGCTCTGGGCCACCAGGACTAGTGCCAAGGAATGGTGGGCACCAACCTGTGTGTGCCAAGGCAGCTGCACACAGATGATGAGGGACAAGCAGGCCGCATGCTGCTCACTAGCTAGAAATGAGAGGACAGAGACTTCCATCCCATCCCACAACCCCTGCCCACTGCAGGGCTGGGCCCATGGGCTGGCACTGGGAGCCCATAGGCTGTAGCCAGGCACAGGCACCCCACAGCCACAGCTCTCCCTGGCTCCCTGGGCAGCTCCACCAGAGCCGCACAGTTCCTGCCCCGGCCCGGCAGCACCAGCTGAGGGTTGAGTTTCCCCTGGGACAATGGGGAAGGCGAGATGGGATTGTAACCGGAGCAGGGGATAAATAAAGCTGCCCAGAAGTTTCCATGACCCGCACCTCAAGCTGCTGCTTGGCACACCGAGGCCAAACCCTGTCCCCCAGCCCAGCACTGGGCTCCTGGCCCTGCACTGCACCAAGACTGCGATGGCAAAGCAGCCCCACAGCTCCAACCAACACCACTCAGCATCGAGCACTGAGCGGAAAACATTATTCACTACATGAGGATCTGTGCTGGTGGATCAGTTGGGATGCAGTACTGGGGTTAGGGCTGTCCTGACTCCTCTGGGTGCTGCTCCCCATCGCCCAGCCAGGTCAGCCCTGCATGCTGCCTGCACCACAGCACTGGTGAGCTCTGCACGGCCACCCTCAGCCCCTCTGTTCCTGCACACAGCACGAGGCTCGGTTGAAATAACACATCCAGGGTTTATTGTTTTTTCCATTCCTTGCAGCTAATGATTAAAAAAAAAAAAAAAAAATCTAAAATAAATTACAGAATTAAATAAACACGAACTGGATTATTCCCCTTCCTGCCCCAGCCCCAGCCGCCCCCCCAAAGAAAGCGTTAGAACAGTCACTGGATTTGGCAACAGCAACAACAACGGAACGATCCCTAGGAAAAGCAGCGAGCTGCCTGGGCTGGGCACTGCAGTGGGCAGCCCAAACCCATGCGCCCCCCATTCCACCCCACAGCGGCCCCGGGGCTCAGCCCTTACCCACAGCACTCTCCCGGTGCCACGCGGAGTGTCAGCCCCACGCTAGACGTGTGTCGGGTTGTCCAGGTACGGGTCCGTCTTGGTCATGTGCAGCATGACGGTGGGTGCCTTGTAGTGGCAGTGCACCCCGCCGCAGCTCACCCCGCTGCAGGGCTTGCCCCTCGTCCTCACGCCCAGCTTCCTGTTGCACAGGCTCTGCCAGGTCTGCAGTGTCTTGGAGCTCCACACCCACACCCCACTGGTGATGCCCACCACCAACGACATGAAAATCTTTAGCATAAAGACAGCCACGGTGGGCACCGAGGCCTCCAGCGAGCAGTTGGCCGCACGTCGGCCGGGCAGCGGTACGCAGCCGCGCTCCAGGGCACGCAGGTTCCAGTAATCCACGTTCAGGCGCTCGTAGAAGTAGCAGACGATGACGCAGGTGGCCGGGACGGTGTAGAGGATGGAGAAGACCCCAATCTTCACCATCAGCTTCTCCAGTTTCTCCGTGTTGGTGCCGCCCGTCTTCATGATCTTCCGGATGTGGAAGAGGGCGACGAAGCCGGTGAGGATGAAGGAGGTGCCCACCACCAGGTAGCAGGAGAGTGGGATGAGGACAAAGCCGGTCAGTGCGCTGACATCCATGCTGCCCACGTAGCACAGCCCCGTCAGCTCGTCCCCCGCCACCTTCCGCATGGTGAGGATCACAATGGTCTTCATGGCCGGGATGCCCCAGGCGGCCATGTGGAAATAGCTGCTGTGGGCCTCGATGGCCTCGTGCCCCCACTTCTTGCCAGCAGCCAGGAACCAGGTGAGGGTGAGCACGACCCACCAGAGCGAGCTGGCCATGCCGAAGTAGTACAGGATGAGGAAGACGATGGTGCAGCCCGTGCTCTCCAGCCCCTCCTGGATGATGTAGAGCTCGCCGTTCTCCCGGTCACAGGCGATGTTCTCAGCCCCTGCCACCGAGCGGATGATGAAGGCCACTGAGTAGACGTTGTAGCACATGGAGAGGAAGATGATGGGTCTCTCAGGGTACTGGAAGCGGTGCGGGTCGAGCAGGAAGGTGAGCACGGTGAAGGCGGTGGAGACAAAGCAGAGGGTGGACCACACGGCCATCCAGACGAAGGCAAAGTCCTTGTCCTCGCGGGACCAGTAGACGTCCACGCCGGGCGAGCAGCGGGGCGCGCAGGACAGGCTCTTTTCCACATACTGGAACTTCTCGGGGTTGTCGCAGGCTCCCAGCCCGTTGGGGCCACGGCCCTCTGCAGAGCCTGGAGGCCACGGCCGGGGCGCGACCGGCAGCATGCCCTGGCCCTTGTGCGGCTCCGCGGCCGAAGCGTTCTCGGGGGCCTCCATGCAGAGGGCGTTGGGGTCGTTCTTGGTGGGCAGCCGGCCGCAGTCAAGCGACTCGGGCCAGCCGAAATTGAACTGCTCCATGATGGGGACGCACTTGTGGCGCGCCTGCTCGCACATGGGGCGGCAGGCGGGGATGCTGGCGCTCACCTGGTCGGTGCACATGGGCGCGTAGAGCGAGCAGAGGAAGAAGCGCAGGTGGACGTGGCAGCCGTACTCCACCAGCGGCGCGAACTCGTGCAGCTTCAGGGCGGCCTCGCGCTGGCTCTCGTGGCCCAGCAGGTTGGGCATGCGGGTCAGGTTGTACCCGATGCCGCGGCACATGGGGATGTCCACGGGCTGGCACCGCGCCGCCCGGCCCCGCGCCGCCTCCAGCGCGCCCAGCTCCAGCCCGCGGCCAGCGGCCGCCAACTGCCACAGCAGCGACAGCGCGAGCCGCAGCCGC